TCGTAACTGTCAGTAAGTATGAAACGTACATCTGCAATAGATCGTAGCAGTGGATAAAGCTTGATCGATCGGATGTAACGCGTCGGGCAACGAGAATCCGATGAAAAAGAAATACAATTACATTCCAATTAACGTCTGAAATCGGAGTGGCTCCGAGACACCTATCCGCGATGTATATCACTAACGATCGCTCAATGTAAAACTTAACGAACCCAGCAAAATGGAAACTTTCATTCGCAGATTTATCATTGGGATATACACTCGCTAACTCTACGTACGTAAACTCTGCGAAGGTATGAAAATATGATATCACGTCACGCTTGCGAATTGCGAAACTCTCTCTTACATGATAATTTATAATAGATAATAATAAATAAGTTGCTTTGATAAACATAAAATGATCTTTTGCAAGTGCAACTCATATGCGTAAAAATTGTTTTTTTCATGAGTGAACTAAGGCCGGTATTCATAGTCGGATCTTATTTCAAGACCGTCTTAAGTAATGTCTTAAGTTGCTAATGCGGTCATTTGATTGGCTGGATGGAGTCTTAAGACTGCCTTTGACCAGACTTAAGACGATCTTAGATATAAGATTTGACTATGAATACCGCCCTAAGTGTATTCTCAAAGCCTTTTAAAAAGTTATATTTAAATAGATTTTATAAACTTCTGTCCAACAAATTTATATATAATTGCAAAAATAAGATATTACTAGTATATAACAAATTTTGTAAACTCTGAACACGGTAATAGCCACGATTAATTTGAGTACAACTCAAATTAATGCACATGAGTTGCACTTGAGTACAATTCAAATTAATCGTGGCTATTACCGTATTCTAGAGTCTACAATGTTATATACTAGTGATATCATATGTTTACAATTATATATAAATTCGTTGTACAGAATTTTATAAAATGTATTTAAATACATATAACTTTTTAAAAGGCTTTGAAAATACAGTTAGATCACTTTCGTTTAAAAAAAAAAATAAATTGTTATGCACATGAGTTGCACTTGCATCGACATATTTTCGTTACGATAATTATCATAAACGACAGCGTCCTTTTGAGAGCAAGAAACTCGGGCATAACCCTTTTTACGCACACTAAAAAAACGATGATACGAGCTTAATGGTGTCGCGGGTCAAAAACCATTAGAGCCAGTGGGTCGTGTGCGATGCACGTGTCAGACATGTGTGTGACTATGTGACTATGTAGACTGCAACGTTTAAATGCATCTTGTTTTAAAGGTACTACTTTTTTTATGAGAATCTTACTTTTTATCAGATAGAAACGTTAAATTAATTGTGAGGCACACAAGTGTAAGTATAATTTTAATTTAGCTTATAATAAAATTAATATATGTATATATATTAGCATTTAATAATTATTTTATAAATTGTTCAACAAATTATCTTAACGATATTGTAAGGACCGTTAATTTTATTAAATTGCAATGAGAGCATCGTTATAAGTATCTCAAAATTAAATTACTAACCTACTTTAAATCCACACATAGTTAAAATCTCCAAAACTAAATCGCAATTTTAACGTTAAAAATTAGAAAATTACCACGGCTACTATTGCCAAAGATTATCTTGAATTATTCCTTATAAATATTTAACATCAACTTTGATGTAAAATTTAAATTCAAAACACGGAGTTCTCTCCACTGAGATTAATCTCGTTACATGCCGAGCTTATTAATTTCATCTATCGCACACGTAATACGTACTATGCTCTCAGCGGAAGGGTGATCCTGATGTCCGGAAGGCCTATTTCCTTGCAGCAGCGCCTCGAGACTCTCGATATACTCGATAGCGTTCCGCAATATCTCCACTTTCGGTAAACGTTGGTTGGGGTTGTTGCTCGTTCTCCTCTTGAGCACCTCAAAGGCCTCGTTGACCTGTAATAGAAATTACATAATTAACCACACGCGTCGCCGACTGCACGAATAATACACACGGCAATACAGCGCGCGTTCAAGAGGGAGGGAGTCGTGAAAAATAATATCGTGTTTATCCGTCAGCAGAATTTCTTAAAACTGCCGAATACGCGAAACATCCGACACGAAATATTTATTTTATTATGTGTGAAAAGTTCGTTGTGTATATGTCGCATTTTTACTTTACTCAACTCTTCTTCATATTGCGTATGCAGACACGCGGGCATCGGATTTCAAACGACTCTCAACAAGATTTAACACTTAGGCCCATCCACGAAACGTTATTCATCATTCGAATCGTCCAAAGCGGCGCGGCGCTTAGTCGACGATCACTTCGTGTACGCAGATGTTTTCCTTCCGTCAGCGCGTTCTCTTTGAGGTTGTTTACTTCAAAAACACGATTCGTGCATGATGTGCTTTAAGTAATTATAAGCAGACTGGCCAAAACAGCAACGTGTATATTCAGTAAACAAAAAATGCGATTTAAATGCACGTCACGACTGATTTACCCCCCCCTCCCATTTCGAACGCAACATATACGTTTTTCGAAAAAAACACGGTGAAAACCTACATATTATCAGAGAAAAAAGAAAAAAAAATTTAGCGAATTGCTTTTCGAATTGAACTTATTAAATTGGCACGCCGCCATTGTATTCGGCACGTTATCAGTCCTTTATAAAAGCACGAAATGAAGAATACGCGTGTCGTTCCTGGGGATACGAGACATCTACGAAATGTGTGAAGCATGTGGCCTTAGAGGGTTGTTAAGAGCCTGACCTTTCTCAAGCGCCGTCTCTCGCGCAAGGTGGCGGCTTTCCTTCGATCGACGGTGACCGTCTTCTTCTTGCAGGCCTTGCAGGCCCACAGGAGACACCTGCGCGGCCCATGCGACGAGCCGGCATCCAAAACGTGGGGATGGGGCACATGCTCGATCGACTCGCCCTCGTTCGCTTCGCTCGTCTCGTTGGTCTCGTTGATCTCGTTAGCTTCGTCGGCGTCCGCGGAGCCGGACTCGAGGTCGGCCGAAGCGTCCGCCGATATCACTGACGAGGCGTCATCCGAATCGAGAGTGTACCGAAACTGCGACCTGAGAATCACGAATCTCTCTATATCCGTCTAAATTACTGCCGAAAGAACGTGTTAAAAACAAGCAAACCTCACTTTTTATTGCCCCACTGAGACATTATTGCTGTTTATCTCAGAATAAATTTCATTGTTGGATTATTTGTTATTTGATTAGCACATCGCAAAATATTATACGGAGATATTCAATTTTCGACAAAACGGTGCTTATCCTCGCACGTATATGTATATACATACCGCGACATAAACTTCGTTTCGCGGGAGACGCTGTTGCGGCGCCGCGCGCTAAACGTGAAAGCCGCGCTGACTTACCGGACGCTGAAAGGCCCGGCATAGGTATTTAGTGAACGAATTCGCAGATTCTTGCCTTAATTATCCTTTAATTATCGCCGGCAGTTAATGACGGACGCAGGCGCGTCGGTCCGTCAGGAGGCGGTTTCCGCGATTGGACACGTTCCAGGTGGTCCCGCCGAGAATGTATATTTCCTCGCCGCGAGAAGACGACTCTCGTCTCGAGGGGAACGGTTGTATAAAGGCGAAACGCGAAGTGAACGAAGTGAAAATGATTTAATACGCGGTAAAGCCGTCATCAAGTCTTCATTGGAGATAATAACTCCCGTCTGTGGCTCGATTCGATCATGCGACAACTATAAACGTGTCGATCTCATTTAAACTGCATCGCAAAATATAAGTGTCAAAGAAAAGCAAAAAACCAACGGCAAAAAAAATTCAAACAAACTTGTTAGATGACACAAAATTGTAACAATTATTTTCGACTTTTAATTATCGTGAAGTTATCCTTCTACATGTTTTCGAAAATGTATATTAATTAAATATTTGAAGAACTTTTTATAGTCGATTTCATTAATTTTTAATGAGAGTAATTATGACACAGCAGAGAAAAAGAGAGTGAGAGGGGGGAGGAGGAAGGAAGGGATAGAGAGAGGGAAAGAGGGATAATACTATATAAAGAAATATATTTCTGCATGCCAAACATATGCGAATACGAATTAAAATTCGCTATGGAACCAAGGTATATACCGTTATGCTAATGCTATAATACTGATTCATAAAAGCGACATACCTATTGCAGCTCTACGCTTTGACAGTAAAACAGTGTTGAATAAATCTGATTTGGCCACGCCAAATCCAATAATGCCCCGATACTACAAAGGTAAAAGCCAAGAGAAGAGAAATGCATAAAAGATTGATCCTAGTACGCGATACAAAATGTAATAATCTGTAAAAAGGGCTGTATTTATACATAAATATGAACTAAAAAATAAGTCTACCAACTTCATTTAATCATTTTATTAGGATAATTTGAAAGAAATTTAAAAAAGGATTTTGTATTATAAATATATGTATTTTTGTTGTATTATTGTGCTTAGTTCAACAAGGCATTCTTTTACACACATATACATTTTAAGCTACGATAGCAGAATAATGGATAAAAAATAATAGAACAATGGCAAGTAGTAAATAAGATTCCAATGATGATTGATTCCAATCACATCACATGTCGAATGTCGCAAGGAAAACGATAAGAGGAATGAGGAAAATAGACAAGTCTTGAAGGGATGATCAATCTTGTCATATGGTGGAATGAAGATAATTAGTCATATTTTCGAGGGTATCCATCAGAGTAACTGAAGTTTTCAAACGCTAATTCATCAAATGTCATGTTCTTCTTACAAAAATCCAATACTTCAAGAAAAATAAAAGTATTTTCAATTTTTCCGACGATATATTGTAGACAATTTTATTCTAGAGAAATGCGATATAACTGCACTTAACTCTAACATTCCCCCCTCCCCCAAATATTATAATATCAATTTTTTCAATCCTTAATCTAATAACATGGAATACCTACATATGCAAATATGTCTGATTTACCCTATCGTCTTGAACTATAAAAATAATTCTTGTTTGTAATTTTAACTTAAAAACATGTCAAATAAAATGTGCAATACTGTAAGAAAGATAAGAAAAAGAAACAAACGACAGATAAGAAATTCCGAAGAGATCCTGGTTGTTATTGGGGAATTAAATTTCTAACAAAGTGTATATATTTTAACAGAACAATACAATTCAGAAATGTTCTTCGCAGAATATATACTCGAATATATGTGGCATTGTGGAACTGTATTTCATTGTCTTCGTGTGCTACAATTATTTCCGAAGTTACGCTTACATTTTACGAAACAACTAATACAGAGACGGAGGGAAACAAGAAGAGAGAGACAAGCAAGATGCTATAAAGTTATGATGCACTGACAGAAACGGAAACCGGAACACCGAAGAAACAAACCGAGTTAATCCTTAATAAGAATAACAGAGGTTTATATAATGTTCGTAATTATAAAATATTATATGCATATACATATAAAGACATATTTTTTTCAAAACTAATTAATTAAGCTTATTTAAATGAAATATAATATCAATTTTACATGAATGTTTGTTAAAACTAGATTAATGGAATGTTTCGCAAAAAAACCTATAAATTGTCTTTAGCCATTTTTTTAATACCACAATTACTTGATCAATAGTATTATATAAAGAATATAAATATTGATATGCATGAAATCATATTATAAGATTTGTTGTAGCAAAATTTTATTCAAAATGTCCTTATATTGTTTCATTAATAAGCTGCAGTTACAGTGGTCTAATTTTAAGCCTACCGAACAATACTAAAAATGTAACCTGAATAACAGCTCACCTAATTCGGTCGTTGCGATAATTCAACGAGCCGGCTGACGCCAAAACGTTGTTAGCGCCGATAATCCTTGCGCGGTCGTCCGTGTCCCTTCTGGTGACGTATCCCTGCAGATACTCGGATTCAGTCGGCGTGTAGACGCGCCGATATCGATGAGAATGATGAGGATGATGATGGTGGTGATGATGGTGATGCAAATGGTGACGGTAACCGTCGTAGGCCGATCTCGTGACCGCTTCGTAGGCGTAAGGCACCGTATCCGTCACGAAGGTCATCATCTCACGCGATCCGCGTCGTCGAAGAAAGCGCGCGACGTCACGTACCGGTCACTGTACTCGATCTCTTGAGGCAGCCCTCGAAGCACACCGATCCGTCCACGTGTTCACCCTCGAACACATCACGGACGAGACTGACGGAAACGATGCGAAATCACGCGTAGTTTAATTCAATTTTTCTCTGAGTGACATCACCTGCGTCTTGATCATCACTCGTCTGATTTCCTCAACTGTACTTCAACTATTGGAAATAGATTTGATGTGGATAGAAATTGGCTGAGCGAAGATATCTAGCAAATATGATCTTTCGAGGTGACAGTCCGGGTTGTAACGTAATCAAAAGTTAGCTGATTTGAAGACAAAGATGACCGACGCTGAAGGTCGTTTCACCTGTCGTAAAATCGCGACAGCGCTTCTTCTCTCTCTGCTTTCGCTTGCCGCGATGGCGGCTAATTTGCTTTTCTCTTTTTCTTTCTAGAAGGAATGATGAATCACTAATTCTGGTGAGAACACGAACGCATTCAATGGTTGATATTAATTCCTCCTTTAATTTCTTCGTTAACTTTGCTGAGTCCAATGCACTTGGCCAATTCCGTCCAAAGTGCGGGATTTTCCGCTCTGATTCGCTAAAACCACTAAGATTCCACCTTCGCGCGTCGCTCGTTATTCTCAATTCACTCCTCTGTTCGCTGTTTTTCGACCATGCGGCGATCTTTGCATATTCTTGCCCGACGCAGCTCAGACTAATTCGGTCATGAATCGAGATAAAAGGCCGATTCTCGCGAGAAGAACGGAAATACTTTATGGATCTTACGAGACACAAGAGTCAAAACGCTTCGCGTCGATCGATTGCGCGCGTAATTCGAGATGTACGGCGCAAACGCACTTTCGTCTCGTGATCTATATTCTATAAAGATCGCATAAGAACGACGTGCCGCACTCTTCAACCACCGAAAAGATGTATTCCGAGAAAGATCACGCTATATCCCGATGTCGCGAGTGTCTCGTGGAAGATTTTTGCCGGCGGAGAGAAAACTTCCGGCGGTTATCCGACCGATCGCCGTACCAGACGCGGACAGATCCGAAAACCTCGTAGTCGGAGATCAGAGTGAAGACTTGGGCATCCTCCTGGTAGTTATCGGTCCCTCCGCCACATGGCATCTTTTGACGCGCGCGAGCGCGTGTCGTTAAACTCGCTCGGTCGCTCGGGCAAGCACACTCGCTCGCGTAGGAGACGCGTCGAGATTATTTTACGCGTTACATGTACGTCGTCGACGGTCACACCCAGGCTGACTATTTTTAAGGACGCCCAGCCAATCACGACCGGGGAAAATCGCCTTCGAACCCGGTGTCGCTCCGCCTCTGTGCTGTCATAGATGCACAAGTTTGGCAGAGACTCATCACGGGGTGTGGTTTAATCATTAATGAGAGTTAGATTCGTCGTCGGACGGGGGCTTTCAGCCGCAGCAAAATCACCGACGAACGGCGTCGGCTATTACGCGCGAGCCTGGGGTTTAAATCAACGTTGGTAGCACGGTGGTCCGAAAGCATAACAACCCGGACGAAGTGCTAATCGACTAAGGACTGCTATCACGAACATTAGTTGCAGTTAACTGAGATTTAAACGTTTCTCCGTTTCCCTTCCTTCTAGCCTCCTCTGGAGGAAGACGGTTGATCGTGTTAACATTAACTAATGTTTCTGATAGGAACCCTATATCATTCAGACATTTCTTTAGCAATAAAATTCAACATTGATTTATTATTAGATAGATAACTCTTTTGAATTATTCCAAGTACCTTAACAGACAGCACCTAACGTTTAATAATAAAATAAAAACAGATGTGCAAATGTCATGAGTTTTCTTTATAATTATTATTGATATTATGATGTCTTTACAAGCCTTAAAATGAATAAATAGTGGTAAGAAAGGCTCGATTTAAAAAGATCTTACACCTTGATTCATCGCATTGAATTATTGCCAAATAATGTAAACGTAAAATGCTTTGAGAAGAACATATACCCCCGCCTAATTTCGATAAATCGTAAGCTAAAACATTTCGATTCATCTCATAATTAATTACAAGATTCAATCTTTGATCATTTTCTAATTTAACTGCGTCAATTGTATACGTATATACATATTTCATCCGACAATAGTTTCTGCGGCTCGCCAGCAGTTTCTGGTACGTTCCAGCGTAGGATTTAAAAATGCTTAACTGAAACGTAACAGTTTATAGTCAGACACTAGCAAAAAGAAAAATTGTTCATTACAGCGGACCATGGTTTTTGACAGATATTCCAATACGCGCCCGATAGTCGATCCGATTTGCGGTCTAACTGAAAAGAGCGCGCGCGCGCGAAAGAGAGAGAGAGAGAGAGAGAGAGAGAGAGAGAGAGAGAGAGAGAGAAACCTATAGTCCGTGGAACTGCACATATAGGGCGCCTATATAGATAGCCGCCGATTCGCCGGCTAGTTACGCAGATACGTAAACTTTATGTAAATCTAGCGGCGTCTGTCACATTTTATGCTCCGCGCTTTCACGGAATTAAAATAGATTATTGAGCGTCGAATAAAAGCTAAAATTACCCTGGCAGCGATCCAGACGCACGGAGATAGAAAACGGGGTGAAGTTTCAGCCTACCGAACATCGGTCCCGTCGAATACCGATCGCCCCTACGATCTGCACTCACGCGTGTCCACGCGAAAACGGTGGCGTTAAACGGCGGCGATCACGTTTTCCTCGACGGAGCAACGATCGAACATCAGAAATCATAAGTCACATCCCGCGTAAACGTATTCAGAATCCTACGGCATGCAGCGCACTATGTGCCGATTATAGGAAAACAAAAACAGTTCACGAGAACAAACTCCGATTAATCGGTGTTCCAGAGACCCGGGTTTATTGACCTTTTACAATCCTACATATGTCGAGTTTGAATTGACACGATATTTCTGGTCTTTTGCATAGTTTTCCAAAGAATTGAAATGGTTCACAATTATAATCAACAAATTACATTTTTTAATATTACACAAAAAATAAATAAATAATTATTATTGTTTCTAATTTATTGTTTATTATTTAATAAAAATAAATAAATAATAAAAATTCTTTTATTTCTTCTATTATATTTTTCTTTCTTATCATCTTTTCTATTATTTTTGTATTGAATCAATTTCAAAATATATAATGAAATACTTACTACTGTTCGCTCATTTATAAAACAATAAATGGGAAAAATAAATGGCTCATCAAGCATGATGAAATAAAAGATGATTTAATGACAATACGTTACGTACGTATTTTTATGTATTATGTAATTGTCAATTCTGGAACCGATGTTAAATGAGATTATCTCGCTTTTGCAGCGAAGCAACGGTTGAATACTGAATCATGAGACGTCACTTGTCCAAATACACACGTTCGGAATCACTGTCCGGCATTTAATATGCTGGTCGCTCAGATTACAGGAGAATGGGCAGCGGTTCCGAATAAACGGTATTCGAGGAATATCCACGTTTATCTATTGAGTATATATAAATTTAATAGCGACGATACTTATGTATTGTCGGTAACTAATCCTCAAATATAAGAAAGGATCCTTTGAAAATGAACAAGTAGATAAGGTTTCGTTATTTGCATACGTGTAATTTTATTAACTCTATAAGAAGAAATTAAAAGCTGTTGATCAATTTATAATCGGGTTATAATTCAGTCGGTTGCTAATCGGTTCTAGGATGAAATATCAAGTTTTAGAGAGAAATTGCCAATAATTCCTATCTAAAGCCTCGTTCTGGAAAAATGCATCAAAGCGCATTATCGGACATTGTTAATAAGAAACGCTTCGAAAGGAAACTAACGCCAATATATATACATATATAGCCATCACGGCACTTATATCCGCGATACGGACTTTTATTAAAATCCCATCCGCACAATTCCGTGACCCTGGGTACCTATTGTCAGAAGAGACAAAGCCAATTATCGTTGAAAGCGGTTATTATCGGACGACGTTAGAAATCTCCGAGAGATGAGAGTATGAGCTTTCATACCCGCTCGTAGACGATGCCGTGTACATCGCGGGTGTAAAAACGCGCCCTTGCGACTCTCCGGCTCTTCGAATCTCGCAAACAACCCGGTGAGAAACGGAGGCTCGGACTTCATTTCTCATTCGCTGTCGCAGCATCCGGTGGTACCTACATACCCGAAGACACCCACGTAAACTCCCGCATTCCCGCATACTGTACAGGAGATGCACGCACACGCGCGCGCGCGCCCATCGACACATATGGATATGTAAACACGAATATATACACATACACAGGTACGTAGGGACGATGACAAGTGCACGCGTGTGCGCGCGCGCACTCGCAAGCACGGGGTAGTCCTCCCTTTTGCACCACGTCGTGGAACCTCGGCAGGGCTTCGGATGTGCTCGTCTCGCCAGGGTCGAGAGGAGGAGAGAGCAAGAGGATCGCAAGGGGCAAAGAGTACAAACCCCGAGGAGCGAGACGCAAAACGGGTCACTCTCGCCTCCTTTCAGGATTCGGCTGGCTGGGATACCTACATCTGCCAAAGTTCACGGGAGGGCAATGCCTCGCCCACTTTTACGAGAGCATCACCGGAACTATGTCTTAACCCTTTAACGCCAAGCACCCCACCTCCTTGCTCTCGGATTTTTGTTTTTCGAATCAGTTTTCTAGCATCTTTAAAAACTTAAGAGAGTAAATGAAAAAAAGTCGGAAAATTCTTGTTAGTAAATGGAAGATCAGAAAAGTTAGAAATTCTGGAAGCTAAAAAAGTTGGAATTTTTTTCTCTGAAAAGCTCTTTTCTCTAATGCCACTCGAAACAACCGTACAGAAAAAATTAGGGCTACTGAAATTTTCAAAGCACTTCTCCAAACGTATAACAATTCTCTTGTTTTAAACGTTCTTGCTAAATTTTTGCTCGATATCGGGAGATTACATTTTACATATTTAATGACTTCTCTTGCTCAATCAATCTCTCATTTTTCTTACTAAGAAACCTTAAAATAATCGGCTGCTTTCTCAGGATTCCTTTTCACAATTTTAATGCAAGACCAACTTCTTGCATTTCGATCTGCGCATTAAAAAAATCCGTAATATTTCCAATTAACTTAGAATTCCAAATTTTCTTGAAAATCTGGAATCAACGGCTTGAGAAACATCGGAGAAAGGTCCGTTGAGAAAATCGACCGTAATGAAAAGTATGTACTAACAGGCTGCCTCGGCAGCCAAAGCTCCGATGTCCTTTCGCGCTGCGGTGTCGCGCGTCGCGCGTAGTTTCGGTGTAATCTGATGTGACTTCGTCAGCCGTCTTGAATTCTCTTCGACGTGTATCGGCCGAAGTGTTGCCTGGATGCCTTGGATGGTTTCAACGTCGAAGGACGTTACGACGATGCGACGGGTCGACGCGACGTCGCACAGATCTCTCCCGACTACCATCAGGAATAATCACGCAAGCGCTCTCTCTCTCTCTCTCTCTCTCTCTCTCTCTCTCTCTCTCTCTCTCTCCCCTCTCCCCCTCTCCCCCTCTCCCCGTCGATCAAGATAATTGCGATGTTAACTCGCAATTAACTATTAAATAGTTGTCTTTATACACAGAATAATTCTTCTTAACAGGAGCGACGAATAACAAACCACGGGCATCCATAGAGCGGCCGAAATAGAATGACGAATGGGAAAAACGATTTGTCATCCCCCACCGAAATCAAATAAGCCGAGAGACATCGAATCGTAAAATGTTACAACAAATAAAAGACTCGGGAAAATGATAAAGAGAAGCGAAACAATTCTGACTGTCGCTTTTATAGTAGATTAATTGATAATATTAGTCATCGATATATTCAGCGAACAGTAAATATAAAAGAATCTCTCTCATTTAATCGATAACCAGGGATGTAGGATGGATTTCATCTCAGTTTTTCTCCTATGCTAGTTTTCCTACAAGCAATCTGAATTTTATGCTGTTAATAAACTATTTTCAAATTAATTTTTTGGCGCAGTTGAGAATATCAAGATATAATCAAAATTTTATGTTCGTGCACTTATATTCTACTATTAGAGTATAGAAAATGTCCTACGTTTCAAGCTGCACGATTATAGGAACATGTCTCGGATTTAGGTTAATCCAATTTGCATTTTTCAAGAGTTTTAATATTAATAAAAAGTGCGAAATTACTTACAATTAGTATTAAAATTCAATTCACGATATTCATAAGCAGAGATCTATTTTGTCAATAATTCTAAATATTATTTAGATTTTATTTACCCAGAATGTTATAATAATTACGCGAGAGTGCTCCTTCTAATCAGAATAATTCTAACGTTTAATCTCGAGGTATGTACACGTACAGTTTTATAGATAAATAATTTGAATGTTTAATTTATAATCGTGCAAAGTTTTTTACATCCAGAATTTGTTATATCACTTAATATAAAATGTAATTAAATAGTTGATAATATACTTTTTGGAATTATTTTTTATAATTATAAAATAAATTCCAGAAATCAGAGCATTCCGATTACAAAACATAATATTAAAATAATATCACGTTACAAAATGTTTAACATTATTAAATATATATAATTTAAAAAAAATACAATTTTACAAATAATCCATATTTTATAAAAGCATATTTGTGCAAGGCAAATAAGAATTTAATTATATTTATATTCATACGACAAATGTCAACAAAATAAAGATTTACGTTCTAAAAGTTCCCAATTTATTTTAATCAATCGCTTCATTTAAGTGAAAATACTCTAACAAAAAAATTAGGATGTTATATAGTTTATCATGTAGCAACACAAAACTTTTGTTCGCTCGAAGCTCCATTTGTTTGGATTTCGGATTCTATACGTCGTCATTGACGCGTAGATAATTCCTCTCTTTCTCCTTTCTCTCTCTTCTACTTCTCTCCATTCCAAACAAGCTTAATCTATCACATCACGCATACGCGTCGCACGGGTTTTACGTGTTTAGGCGCTTCTATCCGCTTTTAAAATAGAAACATATTGAATCTGTTAGTTTTAAGTTCAACATAATTTTGTATCGTCTATCTTTAGTTAGTTTCAGTTTCTAAATTTTGTTTCTCTCGCCTTTATTTCCCCCGATGAGACCTCTCATGATTGATTCACAGAGTCAACGTTTTACATTAAGATCCATTGACTTATTGAATGTAACGTAGAGTATAATACGACATAATTTCGCGAGAGACATTTGAAATATCTCTTTTATATTAAAATTTTTATATTTAAAATATTCACTCATCAATATACATATATATATGTAGACAAATTTTACCACTTTTTGCATTAGATTTATGCAAAGTGTAAATGGTGCAATATTTCTAGTTATATTTGTTATTTATTTATGATCAATTTAGATATAACGTGCGGATACAACCTGCAAGATATTCAACGTATATTTCCTTATTTGTATACATTTCATCGCAGTTTCCTCGCTTCTGGTGTCACTCGGTCACTCATAGATGATGTAGGTATATCGGAAATCCTTACATATACAGAGCATGCAGAGCAACTTTATAATTTATGAGTAACGAGAAAATTGCTTTCTCGGAAAAGCTATCCGAATCGTGGCAAACTACGACGATCCGTCTTGTTAGTCTCGTTTGCATAAGGCGGCTGCATCATTTTCCGGCAGTCGGAAAGAGCTTTTATTGTCGCCTGTACTTAAATGCCGACATCGATATAGCGGTATTGCCGAACGTGTCCGCGTTCCATTAGGCTTTACAACTTTCGAGCCATAAAACCGAGAGAAACGTTCCCGTCGGCTGAGAAAAGGGCGACAGCTGATCGGCGGAGTGCCGGGTGCGTGTACCCTCACCGTTCGGTCCCCTGAAATGCATCGCACGTCTTGGGCAGAACGCACGTTTAATCCTACTGGGGATATCCAGGATATTGTCTCTGAGGGTCAGAGAAAAAAATCTCTCTCTCACCCGTACGTGCCTCAGCGCCTGTACAATATTTCGTAAAACGGAAGACGTCCCATCCGGCGAGGAAAAGTTTGCATAAGGGCGGGCAACGAGAAGTCTAATAACAGATTAGAGATTTTTCTGGCTTGACACGCCGATCTTACATATTAGGATTTTTATTTGTATCGCCACGAGGTCGCGCCTCCCTTCTAAGGGAGGAACTTAAGACTCAGATATTATCCCCTTCTATTAACATATATTTATAGAACTCGTAGAGGGAGCAAAAATACAGCAGCAAAGACATTTTTCCAGCGCAAAAATCAAGCGAATAAAACTTAAAATTAATCATAAATTAAATCATAAATTTGTTTGACTTGATTTGTTTTAATCTAAAACATCGATCTCAAAAAACTTTCTTTTATATGACTATGAATAGCACTTTTTTGAAAGAATAAAAGCCAAATATCCTTTATTCTTAATTATAAAACTAATATGTGTAGGATATGAAAAAAGCGTGTTAAATAACAAGCTGGAATAATAAAATCAGTTTTACTAACAATAAGTTCTATCATTACAATGCAAGAGAACAAATTAAGCTAATAAATTGTATTATAATTAACTGAAGATTATGCACAATTGATATTATGCGGGTCTTCATCTACTTTACTCTTCTATTAAAATAAAACACGATATTTTAAAATGCATGTGTACTTCTTTAAACTATAGATACCAAAAGATAAACACGTAACTAAATCACAGTGTAAATTTTTAATTAAAGGCTTACAATAAATTAAGCATCCTAAGATTGTTCTCTTCAATTAATTTCAAGAATTTTTCCTTGAGGGAATTTTAATCTAAAAAATTAATTAGCAAATATTTTAAGGTCAACTAATTTACTCAAACCCCACAGAAATTTATACTTAAAATGTAATGAGCTAAAAATATAGCATTCTCTACTTTAAAATACATGATATTTATTTTTATTATTATAATCGAAAACGTTAGCAGACAACCGGTCCAGAAAGATCGTATTCATCGGCCGTAGACTATAATTGTGTTTAGCCAATAGTGAACACGCGTGTCGACACGTCGATACGTTTAAAGAGTTTGCTGTGACCGCTCTAAGTTTCGGTAACGAGATGAAACTTGGCTATCCACAACGTCTGACGTAAGGTTGAAGGCGCACAGGGATAACGATGGAAAGACGGACAGAGATCAAGAGTCGAGCGAAGCTGATGGGCGAAACAGGGTGAGAGAGCGGGAGCGAAAGGAAAAGGAAGAAGAGGGGGGAGAAACTTTCGTCGGAGGACGGTTTGCTCGCGATAGAGACCGGAGGAGCCTGCGATAGAGGACAAGAGGACGCGGCGGGGGATGAGAAAACGAGGGAGGAATAGGGTTGGAAACGCGGGAGAGAAGAATGGAGGCGAAGGTTGCGGGACGCGCAGCAGCGCGGCGCCGAGAGAGGAACGGGATATAGAGGGAGAGGGAGAGAGAGAGAAAAAGAAAGAGGGAGCGAGCGCGAGGGAGGGAAAGAGTGAGACGGAGGTAGAGTGAAGGGTGGAGAACGGCGGCGGAACAGGGGTGGTACACGGGTGAGGAGAGAGAAAGCCCGAGGCGGGGGTTTGTAGGGGGTAGGATCGGTTGGGTCGTATGTTGCGGGCTGCTGCGGCTCGGGCGCGACAGTTCTGCTCCGGCCACCGGCGGTAGATTTTCGCGGGTGCCGCGCGGCGTACTTCCGCGAGAGGACCAACCCCATACGCGCGCCAGCGAGGGAGAGAGAGAAAGAGAGAGAGAGAAAGGGACCGAGGGGTGGAAGGAAGGAGGGTGTGCGAGCGCGCAGCGGGGCTCCTCTCTCGATCCGCATCGCGCGCCCGTAACCTTCCGCGGCCTCGGCTGTCCTCGTTGCCGATAACGAGCGGCCGCGGGGCGGTTTTCCGCGCGCGCGGCGGAGCGGCGGCCGAAGACCGAGCGCAGCGGTGGTGCCGGGAACGGCGAACGAGGGGAACGGGGACGACGGTGGCACAGGACGGAAGGGGGACAAGGCCGGAACGCGGCGGCCTGAAACCGAGACGGACGGGGGATCAATCGGCGACGGCATGAGGAGACGCCTCGGGGCGCCCACCACGGCTACTGTCTCATCGTCAGCGAGCGAGAACGGCCGCGTTGCCATTGTCACTACGCGCCGCTGCTTGGCACACGAACGTACGCGAGCGCTCGGCACGCGATGGGCGCCGAATACGAACGTTGACTGCCTGTCGTCGGACGTGTCGCCGCGGCCACCTCGGAGGGGACTTTTGTCGTCCCCGATCTAAAAATCGCAATCTAAATCGCCCTCTCGCACGCGAAAAACTCCGGCTATATCCCCGTGCGACGGATACGCGCGTATCCTCGAGAACAACGCGGGGAGGGAGAGACGCGCGACAGGATTCCAAGGGCTAAACGACACGCGCACCCTGCTGCTGCTGCTGTTGCTGCTGCTGCGCGAATACTTCGTTGTAAAAGATATATAGAAAGATACGTAGCGACGAAGAGATCTTCGCACACACGTGGCGTTAAATCTCTCGAGATAATCGCCGAAACGAAAAAGAAGAAACGGCGATAGTTAATGGAATTAGGAGAACGCTCGATGGATCCGCCCGGAATTTCGCGAACGGGTATCCGCGTATCCCACTTGCGCGAGCTCTCGCGAAGTTAGAGCGCTCCACGGTAGAGGGGTGGCTTCGGAGGGGGAGAAAAAGCGCGCCGGGGGTCATCGACGGTAACTGGGACACCGCGGGCCGACGCGATCATAGTTTCGGGGACAGCGCGTCCCTTAACCTTCTCGGTGCTGAACACGCGTCAAAACTGAGAGAGTCGGAAAGTTTTGTAAAGTAGGAGAAGAAGATTTGAAAGGAAGAAAAACGATCGTTCCGGGGCTTCTCCCCATCGACTAATCGTCACTACTACGCCCCGGATTTACGTAGACGTATTACTAAATGTGAGTGATATATAGCAATCGTGTGGAGTCTTTCCATCCCTGTCGTTAATCTCGAAGCAGCGAGAAGAGCGCATTTAAGCGCATTTAAGGCTAAACGCACGTTCAGCACCGTCCGACACGCCGGAATAATTTTGGGGCGACCGATTACTGTACTTAGTACAGTGAAACATTAATGCGTTCGATAAAAAAAACAAGTGCGTATACACGCATGTATATACGGGTACACACAGACACGCACACAAACGCGGAACACCGCACGAATCTATATTAGATACATGTATACACATACATGTTAAAAATTTATTTAAATACATCGTAGATAAATATATTATACGTGTGTTAAACCTTTTCATAGAGATCTAAATATAACGACGTTGACAAATTACATAGTATATCACGTTACGCGATTCTCGATAATCAAATATCGATAATTCGACCGCACGGAAAAAAATAATACTCGCGAGAGAGAGAATAACTCCTAGAGAAAATTAAAAATCGTACAACCGAAAAGATAAGCGCGAGCGGGGAAAAAACGAAGAAAAGTTACTCGCTCCTACGAGGCAGTTACGCGTTCTACGAGGACACGGAGGAAGAGCGAGAGGAAGGAGATACTTAAATACTTGTACCGTGAGACTCGAGCGGTCGTATGCGTTACATGTGGTAACGAAAGTCGAATACCTGAAACAATCCTTATCGATCAGCCGATCGAAGAAACTGCCACGAAACATTTGCCAATTACGTTAACGGAAAGAAAAAAAAAGGAGAGAGAGGAACTTACGGGACTCTCTATTCTTCGTCAATGCGCGCAAGTACTCGCGCGAGTCCACGGTGCTCAATTAGGCATATAAGTACAAAGACACGCAGGCGTGCAAATTATTTTTCTCGATCGAAATGTGCATCCCTATATACGTTAGCAAGTAAGCGCATCGAGTCTGTCCAAAAGAAATCCCCTGAGTGAGGAAACCAACTCAAACGATCCTCGATCTACCTCAACGACTGTCGGCTCAGCCTCACTTCCTTCGAGCGTATCCCTCGGCAAGAAATCATTGAGGGAGTACCACTATTGCGAATCTCGTCCAACTGAAAGTCCTAGAACTTAAAATCTTCTGACCATCGACCCTCGATTATTGTCACTTCGCATTCTCGGAGCAAGATACCCTTACACGATCCACCGCATAAGTTATTGAAGTCAAGTTCTCGATCGAACTCGAGAGATTTTTCGACGGGCGCTTAATTCCGTTGCTCGCTACCGATACGAATATTTCGGCGCTATTAAACATGAGAAACGCCGAATAAATTTGTAAGATGATCGATGTAAACGGACGCGCAGCCCTCGTGTGTTTCGAGTCGCGCGAAATCTCGATCGTTGTTCGCTCAATCCTCGAGCTCGTCGGGCGATAGATAAGATTCGATAGTAATTGTTACATACAGCGAGTATCTGTCTTCGGGGTCGATTGAATGCTGACGATTAGGGTCTCAAGTCGACGCACGTTACATCGTGCGTGATCACGCGTTGTGCATTTCGCAAATCAAGGAAGTGATATGCTCTATCTCACGCGGATGCGCGGACATGATAATGCTGGCGGCGAGAGATGAGATTAGAGCGCCAAGAAGAAGAGAAAGAGAGAAGAAACAGCTGCACCGCGGGACAAAGAGAAGGAGCCGCACTAAGAAAGACATACAGCCATGTCATGGGAGTCTATCTCGTCCAGGGATTACCTCGGGCAAGTATTGTTGCTTACAGCACGAAATAAATTAGCAAATTCCAATTACGAATTTCAAAATACGAGAATAGCTACATATGATCTAATACAGTACATTTTGATTATTAAAAATTGATTATTCGTTAGAAAATAATATTATTGCAAAAGCGTACGTAATAATAAGAAATTTATATATAATTTTCACTTTCATATCGTCGTATTAATGTTAATGGACAATTGTTCGAGCATTTACTTTAAGAAGGAATGGACAATTGTAATAATAATAATAATAATAAGCTGAGATTACTTATGTTGATATACATAAATATATTTTGATTATCTCGTTATTTATTAGGTTCAGTCAATAAATGGTAATACACTTTTACTCAGAATTGAACGTACTTTCTAATTGCAACATGAAAAATATAATATTCTATTTAAGAAACAAAATTAACTTTTTTTAAATCTCTGCATTCCTTTTACTTATAAAAAGAGGTATATACTATGTAATAACCCTCTTAAAATCATGCAACTTTTGTAGGTAACAAGTTTTCAAAGCATAATTTGTAAGTTATTGAAAGCAAATTATATGCTTCATTCTATATACATATGTATATTACATTATCGTTTTGTGGCATTCTATTCAACATCTGGATTTGTCATTCATATGTAATTATTTATTAATAATTAATTATTATGAGAAACATTAAAAACATATTCTATCTAAATATTTTATTATAATTTCTATTTTTACTACAAGAATTATTTACTACATATAGCATATCAAAGTAATCATCAATTCTTTTATTAAAAGAAAAAAAAGTAAAATATATATTGGAATCCGTTTGTACACATATACGTTTAAAAATCATACAGCAAATATACATGCTTGCTTGAAATATGAAATAAACGGTTACTACATCTTTCTGAAAGAAAAAAGAATATAAAAATACGCGTTTCTCACGTTTATAAATCTAAAACAATGATTAGAAAAATAGGAAAATGTTAAGACCTGTCAGGATTACATATGATTATAATTCCTTGAACTTTTCACCCTTTTTTCCAGATTGTAACAACCAATCTATGAGTTGTCAAGATAATTTTCAACATTAACTTATTCTCTCTGCTCGACTTTACATTCATCGTTATTTATACTAACATTACTATATCTTGATCCGAGTGATCTTATTAGCTACCCAGATTCTTTTAAATCTTTTAAATCATTTTCGTTTGCTTTAACAAAAAAATTATTATAGTATAAAAAATAATCTTTTATATAATACTGAAATTATAACATGTAATTACATTTTTTTTAACATATATTAGATAAGCAAATGTAACAAAAAACAGCATATATTTATTGTAACTAGAGTGTGTTTCAGTAGCCTTTTAAAACGTCCTTAACTTAATATAAAATACTGTGCTTTGTAACATTATAAATCGATGCAAAAATGTATAAAAACAAGTTTCAGTAAAGCAGAAATGATCTATTAAGGTCCAACGAAATAGGTCGCTCTTCATTTTGCTAATTAATATAATAAAAGAGTAATTATGAAAAATGCTTTCTTGTATAATAATAAAAAATCATATTTGATATTTAGAGAAATCACTAAAAGAGCAAATGGGAAATTACGTAAAAAAAAATCGTTGCTAATAGCTATTGTATTGAAAAAGCAATATCGTAAAATCTTAATTTACCCTATTAAATACTTTTTCGGATTTTATTTGGATAACCTTTGTGACAAGCAGAACGCGTTGCAAGAATAAATTTTATGATACAGAAATAGAACTATTGTGAATCAGAAATCCTATGATTATAATCGGATACGTTAATTATGCAAACATTTTTCACGCTATTTAAAAAAGTGTCGTTGACTTCAAACGAGTTTCGCATAAAGTCATTGCGAGATCAAGTACGGACAGGATGCTTAAGGGAAGTGGAAGGCGATGGGGGACGACAGGGGCAGAGGCAGGTGCCTTGTATTTCGTTGATCGACCTCGACGCGTGGAAGAACCGGGGGATGGTTCGATTTTCCACTTAGAATCGCAACGCCGTACCGTATCTCGTAGCTCGCGAGTAAATGGGTCAGCAAAAGAGGTCGCAGGTGCCTCGCCCACCTAGCGAACGTAGTGGGAAAGCGATAGAGTGGCGTATACTCTTCGCTTTACACGATACGGGCTTGTATACACACATACAACACACCGAGGGCACAAACGAGCGGGTATGCGCGCGCGCGCACAGGCACGCGACTGTTTTGGGAAGAACTTTATCAGGAGTGGAAAGTAATTTGCGACGGGAGGCGTGATTTTCACGGGGTTGTGCTATCGAGCGTTAGACACAAGATAGTTCTCTTTTGCTTTAATTAGTTTTCACGTCACATGATTACTAATTAATACTCCTTAGCAATATTTTCCGATAATATATACTATTATATAGTCGTTATTTAGCGATTTCCTTAATGCACTAAATGTACCATAATATTTGTTTTAATTTAAAAAGTTGTTATTCTCGTTGCAAAAAAAAGTAATCTTCTTTTGGGGAAAGTGTTGACAATTATAAAAATCAATGATACTTTAAAAAAAATATGAAAAAAAACACGAGATCTACTTTCATACACTTAATAAATAAATTATCAATACGAAATAAGGTTAGAAATAGTTACTTATAAAAACCCTTTAGATATAGGAGACTGTGAATGAGATATCCGGGAGGAAACAATAGTGTGTTGATTAATATTTCCATTAACGTTCAAATATACGTAAATATGTACAACATGAAACTAAAAAACGTAAAAAATATCATTTGTTATCCTAATACATAAAAGAAGCGAAAGAAGAAAATGTAGTTGATGACTGTAATTTAGGGCGAGTATATTTTCTAGTGAAAAGTTTCGCTGTGCCTCGACACAGAATTGAAAGAAAAAGGATACAAATAAATTTAAGTTTTGTGGGATATAGAGCAAATGTGCAATGGTCGCATTGCGGTAGAATAGGTAAGAACCGTGATTTTACACAGGGTGTCCCAGACATATCTCGCTACCTTTCACCTAGAGACGGTTCGATCAATATGGAGTCGTTTTTCTTCTTTTCACGAAAAGATAAAAAGATGGTAGTCTCTGATGGAGTTGTAAAGCAATTAAACGTGATTGGCCTTTTGAAAAACTCAATTGCGCAGAGATGGTAATTATACGTACCGTACCTTTTATTTAATTTTATCCGAATTGTAACGTGCATTGATTCAACATTTTAGATATATTAAGACAATTAATGCCCGAAATATAATAGAGCTTGCTTTAAAAACTGAGTTGCAGAATAAAATGAAATTTCCAGAGAGAGAGAGAGAGAGAGAGAGAGAAATTCGTTTGTGCGACTGAGAATTGATCCAGAAATTCATAAATGAAAAGCAATGCAGTAGCTACATATGGGATACCCTGTGTACCTTGTAACTTCCCTAACGCGCAGTTTGCAAACTGAACCTCTGGGACGACAGCCAAAAGCGGTTTATCTCTGCTTGCTCCTTCCGTTCGTCCTAGAAATAAATTAAGAGTCTGCGCATGTAACCTATAGGAGGTCAGTTGCCCACATCCATCATCTAACGCAGACATTTGACACGCACTCGCACGATATTGACTAAAGTGGAGAGAAACTTTACATCCAAAAAATGATGGTTCAAATTATATTTTCAAACATTTTACGAATCGCTAATTGTAACGTATAAATAGAAAATTAATAGAAAATTTTAATGGTAATGTTCGTACATATTATCGTAACGTACGACGTAAATCGTATTATTTCTTAATTGAGCGTTAACATTTAAATTTTTTATTGCAAGTAAACTATAATAATTAATAATGTAATAACACGTCTCTATATATAATATGGTTATGTATGAGTATAGGTATACGTATACAATGTACATACGAGTAGAGAGAATATTTTTGCAAGAAATTTCTAAGAGATACATGATCCTAAAAAGAAATAATTGTAGGCGTATCAAATTAGAATACGTTATAGTTTCTTCCTATCGTGATAACATGTATTTAAATGTTCTTGTAATTTATTCTTATGAAATATTTTTGTACATACTAATTTACTGTGTATAAATTTTATATGTGTCGTCGATTTACGCAATTGTCGAGAAGAGAACACAGTTCTACTTTATTATATCGCAAGTAAAAATCACCCAAGCGCGAGAAAACAATTTCAGAATTCCTACAGAACTTAAACGATCGATGTTGTGAAAATATCACAGAGCGCTCGGTTACGTCTTCTTTAAATTCCTTTCATCGGATTTTACGGAGAGTATGGAATTCCACGGCTGCTCTCTTTTGAGTCGACCTTTGCTATCTTTAAACAGTCAGCGATAGTGATCATGGCCTAAGCAGATTTTCCGATAATATAAAGTGATACTTGATAATAATACTTTTTAATAATTTCACGATACATTTGTCAAACAAATGATACTTTTGAGAATTTTATAGCAAATATTTGGATGGTTTGAAAAACAACGGAATATTAAATTTATAACGGACAATAAGTGATATATTAAAGTATAAAGTAATCGATATTTGTATCATTTATCTTAAGAGTTAATATTTGCACCATACAATATCCATTTCATGGTATATATCATTGAACGTTTGGAAAATTTACAGCGGATCGGCGAGTCATCAACTCTCTGCGACCGCGCTGCTGGGTAGCCCTGATGGATCGAGACACCCACTCGACGTCTGCGAGTTCACCGAAGAGGATTACCGGCATCAAAATGGCAACGGTAATAATGGTCATTACCAAAATGGCAGGTCGGGCGCTGGTATATGGGAATGTCTTATAAGCTGCAGAAAACGACTCGATCAACAATTAGCACGAAGGAGGGTAAGTATCTCACATAATGTATCTATTCTTCTTAATTCTCATGGGACAAGTGGAAATGAACGTTAGATTTAGTAGACAAATGATCTTAAATACATTAAGTCTTACTACTACAAAATTATATTCGATGATAAATTTCAATAAATAGTAAAAAATGATGTATTTTAAACTTTTAAGTTAAATACATTAAATTAATAATATATTAACACGTTTCATGTCACGTGGATCACCGATGATCCGCACTGGACATTCCGTTCAGACCATTTGATTTTGGCTTTTTTATTATTAATAAGTACTTTCATATTAAATATTAATATTAAATAAGTGTTTAATAAAAATATTTTTGTTTTGCATTGCATTTTGTACATAAGATTTTTTTATAATAATTTTTTTAGTTTTGTAATTATTATAAAACACAATTTTTTTAACTATAATAAACACATACTGAGTCATCGGTGATCCACGCGGTGTAAAGGATAAATTACATAAATTAGTCGGGCACGAAACGTGTTAACCAATCATTTGATAAATATATAAAAAGTTATAAAGATAAATATATAAAAATTTAATAAACATAAACATCCTATTAACCAAAGTAATATTTATCGGATTTTATTACAATTGCAAACTACAAACGTGAACAAGTAACAGAGATGCGTTAGATATAATTATCACATCTGGATATAATGTCGCCATTATTTGTCACGTTTTAATGCACGTTTCATTTCAAGTATCAATTTATTAATAAAGCTCTTACTTCGAAATGTGTGCCAAGTGTTTTATTTTGAAACGCGAGGGGCGATTATAATTTTAGACAAACGCGCTTAGAAGCGGAATTGGCTACACGCCACGATAACACTTACCGAATTATTAATGATCTTACAAATTAATTCAATTATAATTGATTCTTTAAACTATTACTTGACCATTAACCACTGAACTCGTCTAATGTGTCAAAGCGATTGGGGAGTATAATATGTCAAACGGGTATCTGTAACAGTATCCGAGGACCCTCTCAAGCAAACGACGGGGCATGACGGCTACATAACGAAGCATATTTCGCGGACGAGTATGCTTTATCGGTCACTGTCAAGTTCACGATGTGCATGCCGTAGCTGCGGTCACGCTATCCTTTCGTAACCACTAAAACCGAAGTACCGGTCGTACTGTGTTTACCGTTCTTGATGCGTTTCACCCAGAGAAACTTATGATTTCGTGTCCCGCGTCTGACAGCTTATTCATGATGCCTTCTTCATGTAGTAACAGGCGTAATTTGCGTTTACGTTTTCATCAAAGCTACCCGATAACTCAATCGAATTGTAAGATTATGGAAAAGTATAAAATTCATATTGTTAAGTCACATTTATCATTAAAAAATTATCATCAAAATTCATGGTTTCCCTTTTTTTATTTTCTATGCAAAGTAACTGCAAAAATTTAACGTTTTGTTACACATGCTACAATTTTAATAAACTTGATCACTATATACAACTTTAATGAATTATTAATATTTTAACGTAGAGAAAGAAAGAGAGAGAAACAGAAAGAAAAGAAATTGTCTCAAAGATAATTGTTTAAAGATAAATTCTATTTCTTTGTTGTATTGTGTTAATGATTATAAGCATTAAGATTTATTCATGCAACCTTGCATGCAATCTATTTGATTTTTCTGAATACTGCCACTAATACCGCTGCTTATAATTAGTACTATTACTACTTTGTTCCTTAGATCACATTTCTCAAGGTTTCGCAAGATTGTAGAAATTATGGCAAATAAACAGGTTCGCGTATCACTAAACCTTTGCTCCTTACATACATATATGTATAATTTTAATGAACAGGAATTACATCCCTCGGTCGTGCACACGCACGAGATACATTTTTATGTGCCTTACGAGAAGCTATTTATATTTTATCGTAGGGTTTAATCTGCCAGGGACAAAGTTCATGGTTAAATCGATACGGCCTTCTACCTTTGCTCGTATTATCTACGTGAAAGCTATTGCTGCGTGATAAAGACCATAACACTTATCGTGACTTCTTCTTCCTGGATAGGGAAGCTCTATTACCTGAACCCCGTTTTACAAGACGTATAATTGAACGGTGTTACCGAAACATGAGTTTATTCACTAGGCACATTGAGTAAACTTAATTTAAAATGCAATGCTATATTACTCTCTGTCCTATAGTTACATGTACAATATATTTTCGCTTTTAACGTTAACGGATTAATTTATTTTTACATAATACTGTAGTAATTAAGCAATAAAATTAAATAGTGATTAAAAAACAATTTTTCTAAAAAATTTTTCAAAAAATTAAGAAAAACATATAGGAAGTTTACGGGGTACCATTTCATTTATTATATAAGTCATTTTTCAAAAGTAAAAGTTGGTCAGTCATTAAAAAATCAAATTAAATAAAAAGATTTTATTGATAAAAAGAATATATCTACAGTATCTACACATCTACTGTTTTTTTCTAAACGCTTTTTATATTAGCGCAGGTTTTTTATGCCTTTGTGTAGAATCCACCGTCTGGGAGTTCAACAAGTTCAACATCGCTGCTTTCTCCTCGCTCTCCTCGAATCGTTGAGAACCAAGCCTCACTTCTTGAAATGAAAGAAAATGACATCAGGAATTGTTCTCTTCCACGATAATATACGTGAAAGCACTGTAACTCGCGTTGTGCAAAAAATTTGGCAATTTAAATGAAGAATTTTCGAGCATCTTCTGTATATATACCGCACCAAGTGATTTTCACATTTTCTTCCAGCTGAAAAAGTAACTTAAGTTTCAACGGATCGCGAGGAGAGATAGAAGTAGTTGAAAGTAGCGACGCTGAACTCCCAGGCGGCGAATTTCTATGCAGAGGGCATAAAAAAGTTTATGCCTCAATATAAAAAATGCTTGGAAAAAAAAACGGTAACAACTAAGTAAAAAAATAAGGTATGTAAATATTTTTTTATCAATAATAAATCTTTTTATCTCAATTAGTTCTTTTAATTAAGCTACGCTTATTTTTACATGCGCTGTACAACGCTTCTTTTGTAAAGAGAAAATGTAAATCTTTTTATATTTCGTCCGGAGAGAGAGAGAGAGAGAAATATTATATACGAATTATATATAGAGAGAATTATATACAACTAGTGTCGTGCTTCATAAAATTACATTGTACGTTGTAAGTCATAAACAACGAGCTTTATAATAATTGTTTTATAATTATTGTCTATTAATATTGCCTGTATTAATAGTGTGTGCAATTTCCTCTTTGACTTGCTTATACGCTCTTGAACATTGCATCTCCGCTTAAGAGGGCCGTTATTAACTCAATGTCAATTTCATGAGCATCGATCTCAAGGTCTCATTGGGCGTGCGGGTCTGACTATAGTTGATATGAGGAAACTGGAAATGTGCTAGGATATTCGATAAACAGTCCAGGTACAAGGACGTGTGCGATCGGCAGAAATTCAAGGATTTATCGAGATAAGGTGTTAAATCACGCGATGTGAATTTCATAGATGAGTGATTTAAAAAGGCGATGAATGATTAATAAAATTTTATTTTCTCTCCCGCGCTCGGAGCTCGGATGTCCGAGCTCGTTCTTTATAACGCCCTTTGTGGAGGGATTTCGCGATAAATAAATCAGCACGGGCCGCAAATAGGACACGTGAAGTGCTGAAATTCCATTATTTTGTGACTCAGGTGGAGCAAGGATTGAAATTGTACCGGGCTCATAAACAACAAGCCGCGGTTAGAAAATGGAGGGGCGCCTTGAAGAGCATCAGACACCGCGAAGATAAGTTTGCTCTTCTCGGTTACTTGTATCAGGCGTACATGGATTGGGGCAAATACAGGTAGATCATAGTAGTATATAAGTCGTAATGTTTTTTCCAGTTCTATTGTCACCTTTGCTTGCGCTATTTTCACATACACAAAGTGAAAAATCCGCATAGACGTATATAATAAACTGAGCATTCCCATTGGAGATCTTCCGGCAAGATCTGAAGGACAGACGATGCTTGCAGTACGCTATATATAACAGCACAAAAATTCCTTTGAACACGCCATCGTCGCCATCCAATGTTGTATAGAGATCAGTGGCTTGCAGAGACGATTTCCTTTTCTAACATTTAGGTTAGAATCTATTAGAAAAGGAAATCGTCTCTGCAAGCTTCCTGCAAGCATATCTTCTGTTCTTCAGATCTTGTAGGAAGCTTTCCAATGGGAATGCTTAGTTTATTATATACGTGAATACGTCTATGGTTATCCATATTATTAAAAATAATCTGGAGAGAGGGAGTAAACAAATCAAACCGGATATTAGTTTTCATATGAAAGGTATTATATAAGTATATTACGATATATCTTATTATTAAAAATTAATATATTAAGAATGTCCAACATTCCATTTAAATATTAAAGTTGAGTTTTTCAGTTTTATGACTGTTTTACTCTTCTTTCCTCCTTACGAAAGTGTTGCCCTTTCCAATATTTTAATACTACGATTCTTCCATCGTGCAATTTTTCTCCTTTTAGAGACAGCATTGAATTTGGTAATAAGCAATTATGCATTTCGGAGGAGTTGGATTCGCCAAACATGCGGGCAGAAGCGTATTTGAACTTGGCCAGGGCTCATGAGAGATTAGGCGCCCTGGATAGAGCGTTAGATTACGCTCGGCACAGGTTTGAGCCTCTTTCATTCGTTATACGACCTATGTAAATAATGTAATGTCAACTTTCGAGAAATCTAAAATAGATGCATACCGTACGCGGTATATCTGTATTTCTCTATTGTAATACAGTTAATAGTTGTTGATAGAGCGTCGATATAAATCGAAATGTATCTAATGTACGTCTGATTATGATCTTAGTGGTGATAATTCTAAATTTGAGGAGAGAGATAATCGAGACCGTTCGTAATCAATAGGCGAATATGACGTCAATTGTCTAAGCAATGATTTTTACTGACTATTTACATGTATGTATGCTAATATCTATAATTTTGCATTCTCGCAGCTTGTATAACGAGTGCGATCAGTGCGCGACTGCTGGATTAGTTCACTTAACCGTAGGCAGAGTCCACTTAGAGCTAGCAGGATTCTGTAAAGCCTTGGAAGCGTTTCAAAGAGCCCACAAAATCGCCCACTCCATTCAAGATCCCTCCTTAGAACTGCAGGTAATTAGGTCCCATTGTTTGCTAGTTTCCTCTTTCGCACGAGTATGTAAGCGCGCATTGTTGTTACGATGTTTGTTAATTAATGGACGGCGCAGGAACGATTAGAAAAGCAGCAGTTGTGACTTGCGAGATAAGCTGATCTCATTTTTCGTATCGCCTAATCTTTATTTCATTTCTCGATTAGTCGATTACCTGCATCTTTAACCCACTTGCGTCGTGCACTTGACGCTATCTGAATACTCGAGCAAATCAGTTTTCTCTGCGATGATTAATACTCAAAAAAAAAAAACTTTATTTCGTAATGTAATGAATTTGCGATGAAGTATTTTTATTCCTTGTTTCGGAAATTTTATTTTTATAACATCGACATCTAATCTAATGAAGGAAGAAGATTAGGTCGCAATCAAAAGATGTTTTGGTAATATTTTCTTTTCTTTCTTTCATATAAGACATATACTCGAGCTAAGGCTCATGTAGAAGTTTTCCTTCATTGATAATCTCTTAGTACGTTCGCCCATGATAGTGACCTACTCTGATTACGTGGGATTTCTTTTCCAGGTGTACGTCGGTTTGTCGGAACTCTTCTGCAGATTACAAGACGCGGACAAGAGCGCGAGATACGCGGCAAGAGCTTACGATCTTTCCAGAAGTTTACAGCTGGGAGATCTGAATTCGCGTCATCACAGAGCGGCGTTATTACAAATGGCCGCGGCACTTAGGAAAAAGGGCGAGCTAGGCGACGCTCATGATTACTGCTCGGTAAAGTTTCAACTTGAAATTTCTCAGGAAAGAGAAAAAGAGAGAAAAGAAACTTACGTCAAAGATAGAAATCAGCGTAAAATTGGATGACCGTTAAACGGTTTAAAATCAAAACGATATCGCGAATTTTTCCCACCAACTTTAATTTTCAATCTCACAATTCTTTTTCCTCCGTCACGCGATATATTCATGTCAAAGACATAAACATTTTCGATGGAAAAATTCCGTGCAAGAAGCGTCGCGTAATTTATCGAGAATGTTTTATAGAGAAGATTGTATTGATTAATCGAGACCATAATAATATTATTTAGCGATGATATCAATTTCGTTTATGCATTATGCACAGGAGGCAACGCGACTGTCACTAGTTTCTGGCGACCAAGCCAGTTACGCTCGAAGCATCCGTATTATGGGAGACATTTATAGAAAAAAGTCGGATATAAATGTGAGTAATTCACACTAAGTTATCGGTGTGCCCTTTCTCTTAGCTTTTCACATTGAATCTTCTAACAATAATATCGCGGGTAATTTTCTTACCTCATTCTCTTTTACTCATATTAATTACAAATAGATGTTTTACGCGATTCTCATGCATAAAGTTTACTCGAAAAGCGCAATAATAAATGACATTTGAGGATAAAGATCTTTCCTTTTTCAAACATTCATATGTAAAGGCTGTTATCGCACAATAGGAAATAACGTCAATATATTTATTTGCATATTGCATCAAAAACGTTTCTACAGATAGATTTTTTATCAGCATTCACGTCAAGTGCTACGATGCTATCAGAACCATTCACAGCCTCATTGTTCGTTCCAACATTGTTACGGTACTGTCATCGGTGATAAAAAAAAAACGCCATAACTGAAGCGTTCCTTTGCATGTCACGCATGTTACAAAAGCGATTGTATCACGCTTGCAACGCATACCGCTTTCGTTTTGCTTTTGTTGCTGTAAAACCCTTTGAGTGTTGTTGAAGAGTAAATGACAAAAATTTGATGAAACATCCATGTTAAAGCAAGATAGAATATCGAAAGCGTGATATTTGTATGATTATTAAATTGCAGATTCTATAAAACGTTTCCATAAAAGGAATATAAAAAGTTATCATATTTTTTATATTTTACGCGTTCGTTATTTATATTTACATGTGTACTTCTATTTAGACAAATTGGTATAAATTAACTAGGTAAATTTAATTTATAACTTACATTTACCAGATTCAATGTAAACTGGTTTATGTTATACAATGATTAATATTATTATATAACAATAGTACCTAACAACAGAAATACATGGAAATTATAACCCAGAGAAACAACCTGTAATTCTGAGATTATATGCATTCAATGCAATGTGTTTGATTATAAACTTTAGCTAAAATTACAAACAGATCCCAAAAAACTGGACAATATCTGATCACTTTAGTAATTTATCAAATTGTCATGTTATTTATCAAATGTCATGTAATTTATTAAATTACTACGTTATTATGACATATTAAATCATATATTAAACCTCTCTCTATATTCCAACAAATAAAGTCATAAAATATTTACCCATATAGTAAAATAATATATATCATTACGAATACTGATAGCGATTTTTGTCTCATTTGCTGCTTGCTCGAATGTCGGATATGATTGCGCTTTTGAGCGATAGAAGCTGCCTGTTAAATTTAATCTGTCTTTTAGTTGGCGATCGCGATGCATATATAATTAGCCTTTAGTTCACGCATCGCGTACGCCGGCCAGCTTGTCAGAGCGATAACATCGGTGAGATAAAGATGGACGTTTTGCAGAAAGCGTTCCGACAGTATGAGAGCGCGATGGGCTCGGCGGCCGCGACTGGCGATCGACTATGCCAGATGGAAGCGATGGACGGCGCGGCGAGATGCCTGGAAGCTCTCAGGCTCCAGCACAAGATATGCAATTGCAGACCCCTCGAGTTCAATACTAGGCTCCTGGAAGTGGCGGGGTCGGTTGGCGCCAAGGTAAACTGCCAATACAGATCACGGATTGTGATGCATGTCGTTCATTCCATTTTCACAGAAACAGAGAGGGAGAGAGAGAGCCAGAGAGCATTGGCGATATACTGTGAAATCAATTTCCTTCCTTCTACCAGACGTGAAAACTTCGGAGTTTTTCTCCTTTTCTTTAGTCTTTGAGTATCAATGCAGCTCAAAACAAATGCAGTGAAATTTCGCTAATTTGCAACGAATCGAATGTAATGAAGGGAAAGTTAATTCTATTGATTTCAGAAATTAGTTTAGATATAACGTGAGATATACCTAGTTAACTCTTGCCTCGAGATTTTACTCAAATAAACAAAATTTCATATCCTTTATCTTACAAATTTTGTGACATTACAATTGAAGGTAATTCTAACATTAAAATAAATTATAGATTATATTATTTAGAGATAAGATTGTAAATATTTACCGCTGAGATTGTAGATTATTTACAATGGAATTTATAATTGATAAATTTTAAATACAAAAGCATCACAGAATAATAGAAAAAGTTTCGTCCGAGGCTAAAGATGCGTTGCATGCATTGTTTATCCACACACATCTAAAGACTATCGTGAGTTCCAATGAAATGCCGAGAGAGCTATCGACACTACAACGCCGCTGGTACGTCGCACAAGTATTCCATGCATATATTACCACACTCACACGCCACGCGCACCGAATCCTCCCGCTATTTGTGTCTACGAATCAATGGAGCCGCTTCTCCATTTTGACGCTGTATATACGCGCACACGCAACCAATAACGTAAAATGTGCAGCTTCGTCGGTGCTGCCCAACAGAGCTCAATAAAGATTATTGTTAGTCCGCGAATTAAAACGGTAGGATATTTATAACTTTATTACCGTATCGTATCTTTTCTGCATACAATGAACCAAGGGTTATTAACCGAAGAACATTAATGAAATTCTTGCTGAATAAAATTCTTGCTGAAAAGGAGAAAAGAAAAGAGACAGAGGTATCTCTAATAACATTCTAATGCCACTGAAAAAAATGTCACTATAATATCACTTGATATAATTTACAAAACCACATGATTCTCTGCGAGAAAAGTTCAAACTAAAATTATGAGAATCTGATTGCTTACAGCTTCTGGTGCGAACAGTAAGGTCCAGATTATCGAAAATTTACGGGTCTCTGGGAGACGAGGAGCAAAAGGGACATTATGAGAGATTGGCGATTGCGATGGAGGAAGATTTGGAGTTACGATGCGGAAGCTGCAATGAACCTTTCGGTCTGGAAGCTGATTCCCTGGAAGCATTACCTTGCTCTCACATATTACACGCTCGGTAAGACACGCGGAAAAACTTCAAGACTACTTTTCTGTTAAGAAACAGATGAGCTAAAGCAAGAATCAAGTATAACGTTGGAATCAAGTACAATAATAATGTTGAGTAAAATTCTAATTGCCAAGTCTTTCAAAAGAATATTTCTCCTTATTTTCTCGTGCAACATACATTTGGCAGATGCGCATACGACATCTTGAAAAGACGTGACAAGAAGAAGAAACGTTTATGCCCCGATTGCCACAAGTCTGTCAGTTCACGGCTGTACCTGCATTGCGAAGATCCTCATGGCATGAATACTCTAAATCATAGTTCCTTGAGCCTGGCGTCATTGAGGGCCAGCAGCCTAGCAACACTTGAGGATTGTCATGCGACGAGTAGCGTTTAAAAAAAAAAATACACGCGACGAATTACGTTTATTTTAACGCGTTGGTATCCGCATGCGATTAGATAATTTTAAGGAATCATAATGTGGAAGATAAGAAAACCAAAGGAAAGTAGTACGATACAAAAAGATTTAATGGCAATAAAAAGTGCACGCCTCGATCCAGACCGTTGAATATTACTTCCCCTCTTTCCCAACAAATCTATACGATTTTATCAAAGCAACTAAACATTTCCTCGGTCTATTTTATATTTATATAATAAAGCCATTTTTTCTCATAATTATAGAAACAGCATAAGATTGTTCTTTCCAGTTATGGACTTGTATTGCAGATATAACAATTTGTTTTAATCACGGCTCACGTTTTAAAAACCTTTGACCTGCAAAAGGCCATCTGTTGCAATTTTTAAAGTAATCTTTTAAAGTCTGTGAACATATAGCTTCATATGCATTCTTATATGCACAATAAATCGACGGATAATACATATACATATTCTAAGTATCCTTAATCTTCATATTAAATAATGACTGCAATCTGTCTTTTTAAGCTGAGATTCACACATACAATGGATTTATAAGATATTATATTCTGTAATACCTTTAACTTAAAATTTTAATTTCTTATTTACAGCAAAACAATTATAGGAATAAATGATGCATTCAAATATTGAAAATTTAACAAGCATAGCCAATACACAACTGCTGATATCATTGCAAATTTAAGTTTTTCAACATACTAATAACCGTCAAGAAAAAACTTTCCAATTCTCTATGATTTTAAAATAATATATCATATCTTATATGTTTTATATTTGTGTTAATATCATATACACACTATACACATATAAAATATATTAATACAATTTGTAATACAATTTTTATAAATCCATTATTTCAAGATTAGGATAAGAAATAATTAAACACTCACCACTATGATGCGCAGCAGCGGAATTACACAGCATGGATCTGTAAGATATAAATATATCCAAATATTAAATCAATGTCAAATTAATTGCTGCACAAACTTTAATTTTCTAATTAATCTTGCAATTAGATATTTAACAAGAAAAATGATATAACTTGCAAAACAAAATTTTTATATAAATAATCCCAATAATTCCCATAGCTTCAAACTACATAATATTTAATATTTTTTACGTATACATATATATATATATATATATATATATATATTTTAAATTTATCCCTCCGTTGTATACGTTTTTTTTCCTCTAAGGCAAGTACGTGGGTCTATCACATTTGACATTACAACACAAGTAATAAATTATAGTAAGTAAATAATTGTAAATTATTCACCCCATGGTCATTCCGCCGTTGCCTGACGCTATGCCTGACTTGCTCCTTTCTTGTCCTTCCGTAGCTGCTTTTCACGGTACTCATACACTCGCGACCACTCGCGAAACACGATTAATTCTACTCACGCAACTAAAACGCGCGATAATCGTCACTTTCGTGCGGCTCTGAACGTCAATCGTATGTGACGCGGTTGATTACGTTATTATTACTTACAAAAGCTCCGATCCGTTCGACACGATCCATGGCGTCTCACCAAATTAACGCGATGATTCTCGCACAGCGGAGAGCGCGGAACGATGTAAATTCGAAAGTCGCGCGGCAAACTTCGCGCGGTTGGAGCGCGCGCGTTTATCGACGCGACGGCCCGCGGCACTACACGACTACACTTGTTGCTCCTAGCTGTGCATCGTGCACCTTTCTCAATATTTAGTTCAAATCAAGCAAATTGCAAATAATATGTATATCATTTGCATGTTTAAATAAAGTTATATAATATTTATATAGTATTTGGTTAATGTTTAGTACGTAAATAAAAATAATATACGTTTGCAATTATTATAGTCGACAAACGAGCTTCCGGTCGCGCGTCACTAAAGCCAACTATTACGATTTTTCGTACTAAAACTCGTATGCGATCTAATAAATTGCTAAAAATGCATTATGTAGCATATGCAGCATTTGTAATAATTTACCACGTCACATGTGAGCTAGCACGAAAAATCGCAACGTACCCTTGATTTGAAGCTTTTGCGACGCTTTATCTCAGAAACAACCATATGAGCTAATCAACTTGCAACTTTTCTGTTAAGAGCAGAACTTGCGCGTACGTTTCTCTTGCGAATAATGCAAGAATCGAGCCCCATATGCCGCCGCGAGTGCCGAGCCGAGCAAGTATTGTATGTACTTTCGTAGGCGAATCAGATGGTCTAAAGTTCGCAGTGTTCGCACGCTCAGGCCGCTCAGGGGACGACGACCAGGAACCAGGAACTGCGCACTTCGTTCTTCGTTCGTTGCGCATCCGCCTTTCCCGTCTGACGTTAGCCGCGAGTTACGGCATGGCCGCCATGGCAGCTGATGCCCCGCGTTGCAGCACTTGACGTTTAATCGGAACATGTCATTTTGCAGATTTCATTTTCACAAATGGCAGACACTTTTTTCGGTTTCGATACCACGCTCGGAGTAAGTACGGATAACCCATCGCTCGATTGCGCGCGGCATCGCGGACCGATTCGTCCGAGTTCCAACGGGGCACGCAACCGTGTGAATCTTCCCCCGATAAACAGCCGCGTCGCGGCACGTCTCCTGCTCTGGAGAAACAAAACTTTTCATCCTCCGCCGTTACTCGGCGGGCCTGATCTGAAACGGCGACTCTCTCGCCGAACTTATCCTCAATTGCATCTCGTCGATACCGCTCCCTCCCCCCCCTTCCCCGGAAAATGATAAAATCCGTTCTTCGAAGCGGTCGCAGGATTACATTACGTCGTCTAACCTCATTCTTGTTTTCCTCGCCCTAAAGGTCATTAACATCGAGCGTCGCAAAATCCCGGTTGAGTTTGTCGAGAAATTTGCGCGTGTCGTCTTAATTAGTCAAGTTCCATCAATGTGAATCTGATGTTGCGTCGGAAGTATCATCGCTACAAAACATGGCTATGACCTTTGTAATTTTCTACAGCAATTCTTTCCTTTTTTTTTTTTTATCAAACATCCATGACATGGTTTCTTTTTTTTATCTGGTTTACGTTAAGTTATATTGAAATATTTTCACGTTTCCGGTAATAATTATTGTTCATTCGGTATATTAGGATAACAATCTCGAAGATGGACTGGATGGTCCATTGGAGGAAGATGAGCTTGAGGAGGAAGAGTACGATGCGCTGAATGATGAGACGTTTGGTCCCGATGCTGCTATCGGTGATTGGGAAGAAGATCATGAGAAACTTGCCGAAATTACTGAATCAAATCGCCTTCATAATCAGAGTGCAACAAATAAGAAGGTATGTTGTGTCATCGATCAAGATTTTCTTTAATTATCTTAATAAATGTTCTTTCAAATGTGTGCTCTATATTTCAAACTTGTTATATGTTGAGATTATATTGTGCAATTTGGATTTTTTAATATTAAAAATAGGTGAAGTTAGGACTTACAATTACTTGTGGAACTGTATGATTAAATGTATCACACAACAATTATCTATGATTAACAAATTCAAAGAAGGCAATCAACAAAAACGTCTTTCAATATTAACAATAGATAAACTTAATATATAAACAAATATGACTTTGCTACAGATATTTGTATTCACAAACTTTCAAGAAAAATTCGTGACAATGCTACGATTTGATCAGTTTTGTGAGTCATTGAATAAATGTAATACTTGAAAAATAATCTTGTAAATGTAACACATTTAATTAAAATTATACTTTTCCTTATTTCCTATTCTACTGTCATTACATTATCTGAATTTTTTAACAAATAGTTACACATATTACATCATGCTTTATATTTCTTACAGACTATTTCTAACATAAATATCGAGGATAATTTATCACATTTGGTATTGGATAAAGAAGGAATAGTTCCTCGACCTGGTGTGTGGGGTAGTCCTTTAAATTTATCTCCTCCGAAACCACGGTTATCTTTACCAAATGTCTGTACAGTGGAAGAGTTGGAAAGAGGGCTTATTGCAAATAGGCCGCCACCAGGTCTCAGTAAACCACAAACGCAACAACAGAAAAAGTCTGAGGGTTCACTTCTCTTTGAGGCCCTCTCTTTGAAAGAGAAACTTCAAGTCAATGGCCTACCTCCACCACGTTTTCCGCCAGGATTGGGTCTACCTGGAGCACATCCTATAGTTTTGCCCAATATAAGAGCACCACATCCTCAGTTGATGCAACACCCTAGATTATTAGGCTTAATTAGTAAGTATGTTTATTGTTATTAATTAAATATCCCATTAAGATATGTACAGATTCGTATACATATTTGCAAAATATGGATTGATAAGTTCTCGGCAAATGTTGATCTCAGAATGTTTTGGTACTTAGATATTTTTCAGTAAGGTCATGTTCTAAAATCTCCAATCACGAGAATTATGTATTATTTCTTGTATTTATATTTCTACTTTATATATCTAATCTTATTTGTTGTAATTAATACAAAATATAATTAATTATCATTTATTTATTATCATAATTAATTTGGAATTAAAAATGACTAAATTTTAAAATTAACTTTGTTGAAATATTTCTTTATATTGATATTGATTATCCTTTCATTTATCAGATCAACCTGGTAATATGTTACGTTATCCTCCTCCGCATTTAATGTTGCCACAACCAGTTCCAAGGCAAGCTCTTCATGGCTCTTATGGTTTTCCTCCTGTAAGTCGTTTTTACAGGTCATATATTATGGTTACTATAATATGTATATAATATAAAGTATTTTTACATTGTTAACACTTTTTTTATTACATTTCAGCAACTGCACCCTAATCTAGGAGGCCCGCAGTTCCTTCGGCCAGATCACATGATGCCTGCATTTCCTAATAATCAAACCAATCACCAACAACACCAACCTTATTCACATTTAGGAAATCAGAGAAATCAGAACAGATCTTACTATCATAGCGAACAACAAACTGTACATCAACCATTTTTTAAAAATAATCAATATCCTCACCGCAATCATGACAGAAATAATCAAAGACCTTATCATCATCAACATTACTCGCACAGTGTTAACGGTAATGCTTCGGGAGAATACGAACACTCAGGAAAACTTGCTATAAAACCTCATGAGAAGCAATGGTTAATTAATATTCAATTATTACAACTTAATACAATCCAACCGTACGTTGATGACCATTATTATGTCGTATTCTGTGATAAACGGAATAAGCAACATGCAAATCAAGAACAAAAAGATAAGAAACACCATAATAACAATGGATATCATAGGGATCATAGGTATGTTTTTTTTTTTATATCTAAAGCCTGTATTTCCTATAATAACACATTAATTTTTCACATTTCTACATATTTTGACGCAAGCAAATCCTGTATTTTTTATGATAACGTAACACTACAAAATATACTTTACACGAAACATGCAATAATCACTTGTTTTATTTTAATTGTGGGATTTAAGAAATTAATAACCAATGTTGATTAAAACTATTATTTATTTATTCTGTATTGTAGACATAGATTGATCGTTACTTATTTCTTCAAGATTATTTATTTACATTTTTTTTCTTACTATCCTTAATTTTTTTTACTATTCCTTTAGAGATTGGGAACCATCACCTCAAGCCCCTTCAAGATCAGCATACACGCCAGCTCAATTTGAGAATTCATTAGGCAAACTTCATTGCAGCAGTGTGACAGCACCACGTAAACTTATCGATATGGATGTCGTATCAAATAGCGATTCTCAGTCTACTTCTCAGTCCCAACAGAAAGACACTAAAAAAACACGGCAATTACTCCTTGAAATTGAGAGAGTACTATCAATATTCTAATACAATTAATAAAATAACTAATTCGGTAATGTATTCTTTATTAATAAAATGTTGTTCTTTAGCTGTATACATTGCAATTCAAACTCGAAGATCTGAGTAATCCTCTCGCTTCAATTCCGGAACCGCAACAACAACAGGAAGGGGAATCTGAAGTAAATACGACTAAAACTGAACCGGAGTTAATAAGCATGATTTTAATATGTATGCAACACGTAATACAAGATGATAAATTAGCTAGTATGCTAAGTATTCGAAAAGGAAAGGTAATTTGATGAATAAGAGATTTAAAGCTTATAATCATATTCCCAATGTCTTGTATTTATATATTTTTGTATATTTATAGACATTACTACTGCGTTTTTTACCTCACCTGAACGTGACAGAACATAGCAAGCAGTTGAGAGAATTGTGGACTGCGATATTTAAAGGATTAGCCGTAATAGGCCGTAGAGATTGTCATATATTGACAGACTTTTATTCCGAATTTCGAAGATGGCTTGATGCAGTGAAAGATTTTGATACTATATTGCGATTAGCGAGAGCATTATCCGACTCTGCTATTGTTCATCCTGTTAAAAATAATAGCTTAACTTTTGCCCTTCTGAATAAGGTTAGTTAAATGTATAATACTTACGAATCTTTCAATAAATTCATATATAGTAAGTATATTTGCAAATCACGATAATCTCTGTTATTTATCACTTGGTCTTTCAGTTTGGTGTGTCCGCAATAGCAGCGATGTTTGAGCATGCTGAACAATTGTGCGTCACAGATGATTCCCTGCCTTCTGAATGGTCAACTTTTGTAGTGACAATAGTTGAGCTAATTGGTGACTCGCCCCCCTGTGTTGCACCTTGTCAACCAATTACTGCAAACACGCTCAATAAACATCTGAATCGGATTTCCAGTTTAAAACTAGAAAGGTATACAGCGCTAGCGTGCTTGTTGACTGATGCCAATCCGTTACGATAGTCTAACGTTACACAAGTTAAATTTGAGTTTTTTTAAAGTTCGTCTTTTTTTAACGTGCGAAAACTAAATTATGCTAAAAAGGAATGATACATACAGACAAATATTTTAATATAATTACTAATGTTATTGAAACATCCATTGTGTATGATAATATTTCTAAATAGATGCCATGATTTTACAAAGTAGATTAAGTATCTGATACGGAAGATTTAAAAAAAAGAATTTATATATGTATATATATAGGTAGAAATATTGTGAACATCCTGATGCACAATGAGGTTTCTTACTCGTATACATATATAATATCATTTTTTATTGTATATTTTGTAAACATTAATCAGTTTAAGCTCATAATTGATAGCATGATACAGCCACTACAATATCAGAAAAAATAAACATCAGATAACATCAGATGTAATAGAGTTACATGTCAATAATCCTTCATGGCTTTTTTTTTAATTACGGTATATTTTGATTTCTACTCTGTGTAAGATTGGTATCTAATGTTCAACGTAAGACATTTGAAGTTATCTTAGCACATTTCATTTCCATTTAAAAATATTGTGAGATTTATGTCTTTCTTTATAAAATATATCATGTAAAATGAAACAAGTGAAACAGATAATTTCAAATGCCTTACTTCGAATTAAACTGCACATCCTATCTTCCTATTTGCTATATATTTCATACTGCTTTTAATTAATGTATTTATATTTTTAATATAATTAAAATTATAAGTTCTACTATTGGTATTTATATACTGTTGTATTGATGGATACTTAAATTATTTTGGCTATATATTATGTATCCATTTTTTATGGAGATTTCCTGTATAGAAATATAGTGATAATTTTAGATGCATTAGGAAACTTTTCCTTTATTCCTTCATGAACTCAATTTTTTTCATTAACATATTTTATTGTAAGTATAGAACGCATTAGCGTTTTTTACATTAGCAGTTTTTTTTTTTTTTAATTTATGCTGCTAACTGTATCTTTTAAAGTTTAGTTCTGCATATATTTTGCAATGTTACATGCATATGAATATAAATATGTATATGATGATATTCTTCATGAAAGGTAAGATAGGATGTGTATGTTCTTTTTTGTTCTTTTGTTTACATGAAAAGCAGAACTACGTTATTATACATAAACATTATGCATTGTTGTAAATGAAATCAATAGCGCTAGAAAAAGAAAAAAACTCGTTATCAGTGTACAGATGACTTATATTTTGGAAATAACGACAGATAATCATTTACACCGCACTGTTAAGATATAATTATGGAGATGAGAGTATACAACAATTGCATAAGTTAGTTATCAGCAGCAAAACTACAGTAGACTTTTTATAACGTTTGTATTATATATTAAGTACCAAAATTGAATTTCTATCAGTTCGGATATCAGAAGCATGTAACAACATGATCTTTAATCTAGTTATAAAAGATTACAGATTCATCAATTTAGGAAGGTGTGGTATCTCTTTCTTTTCTTATTTTTTAATATAAAATGGTTGTAGGTCAGACACAATCTTGTGATCGCGTAATAAAAGGAAGAGAGAAAGGAAGGAGATTCTATAATTGCAATGTGTTTACAGTACCGTAAGAATTTTAAAGATAATCTAAAGTGTATGAGATGACATGGCCTTTAGAGTACTAAATAAGACGATTACTTTTTATCGCAGTTTAACGACAACCTTGTTTATGTACTTTTAGCTTGTATATAGAACGATATTGCGTGAATGATGGATGCATTTTGTAATCAAATGCAGAAATATTTCGGTTTCTGCCATGTCGCATGACGTAATAATACAATTTTGCAAAAACGATTTTCGAAGTTAGAGTTTCTTGTTGCTAGTTTGTAGTCTTAACACGTGTAATAATGATTATCGACTCGAGCGGTATTTTTTAGTTGCATCGGACATTTTGTAAAGGAGAAGTTTTTAAAAACCATGGAAGCATCGCACACGCAATTTTAATTTTGTAACTCCACAATCCGAATTTAATTACAAATATTTTGTCGCGCTAGTTTTTTTATTTGTAAATCGCTTCACTGTCATTAGTTAAATCATTAAAAGTTAACGTTAAGATATTGCAGCATTTCAGTTGATTATATTTATATAACTTAAGTTACGTTGTCACATATAAACATACGTTATTTCAGTGCGATTAGCTTATATGATTTAAATAATACATATTACACAGTGTTATATGATTTTTCAATTTATGCTATTAGATATCACTATAAATACAGCTTTGGTGATTATTAATTTGATGAATTAAATGAATTACACAAAAGGCGAACCAAATGATTACTCATCTATTAACGCTTACGAATGATTTATTAATGTTCAGCTCAAAAGTCTTGCTAATTAGTGTTCTCATTATTATGTAACAAGCTGACAAAGAGAAATAAAATCTACGTTTTTACATAAGCAATGCTTATCTAAGGGATACATAATCTATCCCTTATCCGTAGACAAGAATGCATGTCTGAGAAGCCCAAAAGTTACATTACATTCTTCTTATTACGTAACTGTGGGCTCGCACTTTTGTAGGGTAAACTTAATTATAGGCGCAGCGTATTTATGAATTGTTTCAAGTATATACTAAGAAGTATAGAATTTTTAATGATTTTATGTTTAAGGGAAAAAACATTTTAGAGTACTCTTCATTTTAAATGCTTAAACTCTGCCCTATCGATTTATATGTTAAAGGGCAGATTAGGCGACTATTAATGAGTATACTATTTTCTTTTAAGGGCTACTAAAAATATGTATGTATATATTTCACAAATATATACATATATTGGTAAAGCAATATGCTCTTCTTGCTCGTTCATATTATGTAACAATAGAACTTAATTCACTCCCTCTTTTTTCCTTTTTTTTTTACCACCGTCATTCACATTAGTCGCAACAGCTCATGTATGGTGTTTGCAATTTTTTCATTTATGCCTTAAATTAACTGTTGCGAAAGCAACGTTGTTTCGATGCTATATTGCTGTTGCTAATGCACTAGTTGTACCAAAAAATTCATCGTAGCACAGCAGAACGATATAAATTAAAATCTATTCGATTTGTACAGCGAATAAAGGGATTTTATTGTCGACGAGTATATCTGTATACTTTAAAACTAACTAAGTATATATCTGTTCTAATACAGATATGAATTACACACAATATTGTATAATGAGTGATGTTTCATATTCTGTTTGTGTCATCGTCATGCAGATTAAAGCTTTTGCTAATGAAAAAAAGAGCATGCAACATGTCTTCTTGTAAAGTAGGTAAAGCGATTAGAGCAAAAAAATTGTGCGTTTGCTTTTTGTGATTAAAGATATATTTTTATAAAAACGCTATGTTCATTATGTTTAGAAACGAAACAGATGTAATGGAGTGCTATACAAAAAAAAGAAACGAGATCGTTGAATTAACTTACGAATCTTTCATAGTTTATCGTCATTACGTCTATTATGTACTTGTCGGTGATATGCCTGTATATTAAAAGAAAATTGATTGTAAATTTATAACTCTGAGAATATAATTGTAGCTATATTGTGTATGTACAGAATTGATCTAATTTGAAATCAAAGTCTTAAATAAATGTTTTGCATCCTACGTATCTTTTGTATTTCATTATAAAAAATTATCTACTGTATCATACTATTCATTTGTATCTCAAATTTTCATTACTTGAAAAATTTCTGATTTCATTTTTCATAAAACTAAAGTTGTGATTGCATTTAAAAAAAAATATGCACGCCTCGCAACAAAGCGTTTCCACAATAGGCGCTTAGTAACAAAATGTTTGACAGAAATAAAATACAGATCGTTTTTTTATGTATTTCTAATGTATAAACATTCAAATATTTCAAACGTATAATTTTTATTTTTTTTTAGAATTAATAAGTGAGATAAATAAGTTTTAAATTATATTTTTTTAATTATATGTTTTTCTGTATTTTAACACTATTTCCAATATTAAGACATTTATAATCCATAAATTATTGTGCGTAAGGGATTCCATAATTATCACATATATTAAATGTAAAAATAATGATAAAATTCATATTCAGATATAAAACAATGTGTATTTGTCTATACATATAATTGTTAATTCCAGAGTAATCTTGCCCTTATTTTTAACTTTAATCATTAGTATTTACATCTTGAATAAACCATGTTTTTCTCAGCAAATTCTCATCATTGTTGACTACTTTTTCTTCTTGTTTTTATTGATCTTTTTCTTATTCAGTCGTCTTTCCGCTCTTATTTCAGATTCCGTTTCTTTCATCTGAAATTCAAACTCGTTCTCTTCTTCGCTATCTTCTGCACTCTGCTCATCTAATTTATGTTTCACTGATTTTCTCTCAACTGGTACGTTGAACTCTTTTTCGTTCTTCGTAAGAAATTTAAGATTCTGGGATTCACGATGTTTAATGCAAGAAGCATAGAATTTGGCTATTGCTGTGCCGTCCGTTTTTATTCTATTTTCCCAATTTATAATCTTTGCCATATTTTGTAAATCTATTGCTGCTTTAGCACGCTCGGTCTCGATGTATGTTCTATTTTCTTCAATTACAGATAGAAGCTGTTTCATCTTCTTGCAATAAATTGTCACATGACATTTCTTCAGAAATTCTTTTAACTACGAAAGTATATCGATTTAATATTTTGGACACAATAAAAATAAAATAATAAAACATCTAACAATAAAAATTCTAAAAATTTTTTAAATTTAGTTTCTTTTTAAGATACCTGTATTATACAAGATATGTAGAGATCTGGGAAATATATTCTGTAACTTTCACTTGCTGCATGTTCCAATATAAGTTGATAAATAGTTTCAATAATACTATCTTTGAAGCCATTTTCTACCAATTGTGATTTCGATATCCTTAAAAGGCAATCAAAGGATATAGGTTGCATCGTAGCTTTATGCCTTTTGTTAAAATCATAAGAATCCAGTATCTAAAAAGAAAAGTTTGACACAAGATAATTGTATATCCTACGATTATAAATTATTAAGATTTGAAAATAACTGATACCTCGAGAAAGAACGGCATAATAGGTATAAAAGTTCCGGTTTCCTTAGAAATTGTTATTAACATTTTCAAACAATGGAATCGCAATGGATAATATTGTACGGTTGGATTTATTTTTATTGTTCCAATAATAATCTGTTAAATAATTTAATGTTTGTTTTTAACATAAATTGTTACATTATTTTTATTGCTTGTTTGTTTAAAGTATCTAATACCTGGACTAACGGATATATCAGCGATTCCAACTTATCTCTTGCTTTAGTTATCAATTCTGTCCAAAAGCGTAAGAAATTTATATACTGCCAATTATATACGGCCTGCAAGTTTTCCTGGAAACAAAAAATCTTGAATGTTAGTGATAAATTTTATGAAAAGTACATAATTGCTATTTAATGATTACCTTGTTCTTTAAGGTTACGGCGTTTTTTAAATCAATCGCTAATTGTCTGATATGTAAAAAGGCATGACTGTACGAAATATTGTGGTCAAGCAGATAAATTTCGACCAAAGAGTGCCTCATGAAATTTATTCTTGGTAATGTTTTGGGTGAAACAAATTTCGTATTCTGACCGTATTTCTCATACATAGTCTAAAAAAAAAGTTTAATGATGCCATTGTCCGCAAATCCTCTTTTCATCATAATATGTGGATCTCACCTCTAATAGTTTCTCAAGTACAAATTCTTTGCTGGTTGCAATATGTAAGATATTCATAAAGGCTATAACACAAACAGTTTCTTCTGCAGTTGACCATAGCTTTAATAAGATTCTTAACAATGGTTTACTTAAGGACGAGAACGATTGGGTATAAGGCAACACTTGATGAAGATGCTTAAGAAGCACTATGAGAACAGCATTATTGGATGATGCTACAGTCTGCAATAACTGTGAAACAGATGTACTTATTGATAGAATACATTATTTGAACTGCATTATATATGAAAGATAAATGAAGAATTTACATATACATACTTTAATTAAATCTGACACGTATAACTTCAAAATTTCTTGTATTTTGTTAAATCTCTTAGATTTATGTGCTTCCTGCGATTCTGGATCCAGTTTTAAATACCGTCTAAGTGCATCAGGCAAGTGTGTTATACATAATTGCATCACGCCATTAAATGCTAAACACAATTTGATAAAATTAAAATAGAATTATTTAAAAAATAATTAATGACTTAATAGCAATTAAAACTAACTTGCACTTCCTTCTACTTTATATCGCGTGGTTGTATCTCGTGATACTGCGATACTATTCAAAGCTGCATGGAAAGCTTCTACAACACGTTTAATGGTAACACTTGATCTACAAATTCAGAATAATGCATAGTTACTACTTTGCTATTCATTCAATAAAAAGTAAACGAAAGAAAACTTACTTGTCTGTTTGTATTTCTTGTTGCCAAGCTTTCAGTAATTGCATAGTGATCTTTTCACAATTATTGTCAGCTTCTTCCGATTGAGAATCACTATTATCGCTAGCAACCTAAACATTTAATAATATTGTTAAAAAGGTATTTAAAACAAAGAGTTAAAATTACATTTGTGAAAAAAATACCTTTAAATTTTCATTAGAAATGTGCCTATCATCCGAGTCCACTGAATAATTATCATCATCTCCGTCATCTGATACTTCCAAGTCCAAGAGATCTTGGTCATTTTCCTTCAGGTATTCATAAAAATCAGGATCAGTATCTTGTAATTTTATCAATGATCTTTTGTATTCTGCAGGATTTAAGTTGCTCTCGCTATCGCTGTCGCTATCAGGTCGTTTGCTGTTTTCATCATCTGCATAAAGGAATATAACAAAAGTTGGAATATGCAATCTAAAATAAAAAAGAAATCCAATCAAATATTTGAGATCATACCTGTATTTTTATCTTTTTCATCACTATCGTATATATCACTATCTGTATCACTTTCAAAATCTTGTTCAAGGAACTCTTTAGTAGTTACTTTGCTCAGATCTCTTTTCTTTTTCCCAGTAATTGCTAATTTCTGTACTTCTGGCAACTTGAGAGGCCTCTGGCTCATCTTCTTCACTTTCATTTTGAAGACAAGTTATACACTTTTGTAACCAATTCAAATAATCTAGAAGAAATTATAGATTTGGTTACATAATAAACGTGTAAACGTGAGAGACAAGATTAGCACGTGTATAACCTAAACTTTTTATTTTCAAATAGTAATTAATAATCATATATAATATAAGTTTTGCTTCTCTTACCTGCAACCTTTACTGAATTAATCATACATATGTTATAAACGTTCATAAATTTATTTTGCAATTTCCACGTGCATTTTAGGAATCTGTTTTCCACCGCCAAAGAGAAGCCATCCGTGCCGATCATGCCACATGGCCCACATGCCCACATGCCACGTGCCACGTGCGGCGCGTGCCGCGCCAGCCACGCCGACGCGAACGGCGAAAGCGGCCGAACTGGGCCGAACGTGATTCGGCCGGATTCGGTCGGATTCGGGGGCAATCGGGGGCTCGACTCGCTGCGCAGCGCGCGCGCAAGGCGCAAGTAATACGTCGCGTCGCGGTCGGTACGGTCGCGGGGCGGCGAGACGTTGCCGCTCGTGTAAGTAATTTCTTTCTCGTGAACGAAAAGAAATCCTCCGGTTACAGAGTGTATGTGTGTCGCAAGCTGAATGTACGCCGAGTATTCTGTTTCTTCTCGTGTCGACTGTAACGAGTGGGATGGCCGACATGAACGTATCACCCTCCCGCTCCTCCCGGCTGTGATTTGACGGGTCTCCTGTCTCCGGCAATGTGCCGTGAATGCCGTGATCGGTAAGTGAATTGTGCATATGAGAGAGAAATGATTCGAAGCGCGATACATCCGAATCTTTAAATAGAATTGTTGTCCCGCGTGTCGCGGTGAGACGATAACCTCGGAATTCGTGTCGCGTCTCTTGCCTCCGTTTCGATTTCTACTTCGAATGAGTGAATCGCGTGGAAAGACGCTTCGGTGAATAGCTCGAACCTCTCATTGAGAACGGGAATTAATTATCTATTGAGTGATTAAAGAGAATGATCGCGCGTTTGGCGTTCTCACTTTACTTGTCGCGATCGCGAACGATCGCGAAAGAGCTGGAGCGATCTTGCTCCAAAATCCGTACGAACGTCGAGAGTGCGAATTAACAATTGCTCAAACGTGATCCGAGACCGAGGTAGATGCCGATGGATAACCAGGAGCCAGGAGAAACGTCGCCGGGTCGCTCGCCTCGAAGTGCGAGAAAAAAATATTTGTCGAAATATAACAGTTACGTGTTTGTGAATTGAATGAAATAAATCGTGAAAGATGCAGACGCGAGACAGGCTTGGGTCGGTTTTTTTCATTATCAAATTGATCTAGAAATAATTGCAGAATATTGACATCATCGATTAAATTTCTCTCGAATTATTAATATCTGCTGAACAGTGAACACATAGATGCTAATATATGTATATTTAAAAAAATAAGACCCGTTTTCCTATTGGTTTTTCTTACATTTGCTTCGGCGCGCTCTGATTGGTTCACCGCTTCAAGTTTCAACATTTTGAGGCAATCGAGGCAAGGCAAACTCGTCATTACGTCGCGGTGGACTGCAAAGGGCAAAGCGCGTCCGAGTCGCTCCGTAGTATTTATCGTGATTTGTTAAGTTGTTACCGTCCTAAAGTGAATTTCGCGCGCGAGGACGTATCGCGAGTGTTTTCTGCAAGTGTTGAACATTGTGTGCGATCGTTATCGTGTGTCTATACGTGTACCGCGATCTCAGTGTAATACCGACAAGCCGTCTCTGTGCGCGACGCGGCATCGGGCCGGCATATGTGTGTAAACGGATTTTGACACTTTGAACCTGTTTGATGTTGAAATCCGTACAATATCGTGGCTTTAAACGCGCATCTATCCCATTTGCAACAAAAAATCCGCGTTTGGACACTGTTTATCTCAAATAATACAGTTTAGTGACGCGAATGTGCGACAGTTTCTCAAGTGAACTCCGCGCGATCGTAGCGAGCTTGCTCCAAAATGCGTATGAACGTCGAGAGTGCGAGGGAACACTACGAAACTGACAGCCCCGAGCAGCCTGAGAGGAGGAGGAGGCCTAGGAAAGGCATCAGGCGCCGGCGGAACAACATGCGGTAAATATATGTATAATTGGTTTATACATATTGTGTCTTTTATGCAGTTATCCACTTTTCAATTGGATAGTTAGTCAGAAATTAAAAATTAGAAAAAAGAAGTTTCTAAGTTAAAAATTCTATAGAAGCTTTTGTATTCAATAGACAGAGAATATATTCTTAAAAAATTACACAATTATTTCATTAAATTTGCTTAATCAACTAAAATATCAATTAGAATTCAGTGTTCGGTCATTATTTTTTGAAATATTTATTGACTGTCTCTTTGTTTTCCGTTCTGTTTGGATTTTATATTTGGATTTCTAATTTGGATTTTATATTTGTTTGTTACAGAATCATCGCAGCGACGTTGCAGAATAACTCCGCTGTTGCGCATCGTACGGTGAGTGATTACTATTTATTAATATCAATTAATATCGATTTATAAAAATTTAATTTTTACTTAAGGAAGCAAAAATTATGTACTATGCGTAAGGGATTGGGGTGATCAAAGTAGTTATGTAGGTATATTTCAATATAAAAAATAAGATTTAACAATATACATGCGTTACATGTCACGTGCGTAAATTAAGAAGTAATAAAAAATACAAATGTAATTGATATAAGACCAAATTAGATCAAAATTTTTTTTTATAAAGATTTTGTACGGAACGCGTACACTTGGCGCGTTTTTTTACCTTTTTTTAAAAAAAATTATAATAACTTATTTGAATACATGTCCGAACTACTCAGAAGATAGTCGAGATGAGAGTAAAATGAGATGAATATATGAGTTAGACAAGGACCGACAATCATCGACTATCTTCTATCAGTCTATCTGACATCTGACAAGTAGTTCGGACATGAACCATAGCACGGACACGAACCATATACCATTATCGAGCGAAACGACGTTAGTTGTGTTGCATCTTCTCAGGTAGCGCGTCGGAAAATACATCTTTAGAGAGAAAAAGATGGCCGCTCGGGTTTCTCTCTCTCCCTGATAATAATAAATTAATAAATAATAACCGCGTCGCGCGTCGCGTTTGCACTTTGCACGAATCGCGTCGACCTCGCGTTGCTCCGTGTTCCGCTGGCGTTTCTAACCTCGAAACATGGGCGATTCCGAGCAAGACCCGGGTGACCGGATCGACGGCGATAACCAGAAAAACGATAAGATGTTTACTCTGAAGAAGTGGAACGCCGTGGCCATGTGGAGCTGGGACGTGGAGTGTGACACCTGTGCAATTTGCCGAGTCCAGGTTATGGGTGAGTCTTGGTTATGTTTTCATCAGCTTCCCATGTCAGGATTCGCGAAAATTATTATTACAAAGAAAAAAAGAATTTTATTTATCGTTTTACTTACAATAATACTTCAACTTGTGCTACAATCTACTTCAACTTATGATACTGGTGATTGACCGTGTAGTACGAATAGTGCACTGATTGTGAGAGAACTTGAAGAACTGTTGCCGCAGTTCGAGAGATTTCCCCTTTATAAAGCCAAAAATGATCAAAAATATTGTTTTTCTGGTTTATCCAGGAAACTTATTCTAAGATTTTTCTGGGGTGTATGTATAATCTTATCCTAGTTATCTTAAGAACATATATTCCTAAATTAAATATGTGGGCAATGATCACCCCCGCTACCGTATCCATCGTTACAGAAATGTTGCATTTTGTTGATTATAATCGTCACGCTGACATTCGCGCAATGAAAATTAATTTATACCTATTTATTCCAAAATGCAACGTATTCGACGTTTTGTATCCCAATAAGCAAACGGTACGCTAGCAACTGCCAGCAGGATATCGCAGCAGATTAGCTGTGTTAGGGCATTAAGCTTTGTCTACTAGAGTCTGCCGACATGATCCGATAGTAAATTGTCAGTATAAACTAGCAGAATATGACATTTTATAACCATTTAAATGGAATAAGCGATTAGGAAACGATTAGGATAAGATACTGCTGGATTTTTGTAGGTGACGTGCCATCATATTCTGTTAACAGATTGTGTTACATTTCTACTGGCATTCTAGCGGTGGAATTTACAGCAGACACTTTGCAAGATTTATTTTTGGCAGATTAGACTACGGGACGTTGATTCCCAATCTCTATTTATTTACTCGTAATGCACAGTGTCTAGGCAGTTTAAGTTGTATTGTTTCTTATAACTTTAAATGTACGTGTCATCCTGTCATCAATATAAGATACATAAAGTCTCGTTATACTCATCATTACTTATTTATTACAACAATAATTTGAAACAGTAGATTGTTTACTTTTTGATTGAGAATCAGAGAATCATATCAAAGATTATGATTATTAAATGTCTTGCAGATTTTGTTAATTGATGACTTTTAAAATGGGAATTGGAAATTGCTGAATATAAAAATGTCTTAATATCTAAAAAGATATTTTGCGTTCTACATTAAGCAGGTTTATATTTTTAATAATGGGGTGTATAGAATGTTACAAAATTTGGATTAAGACACTGCTGTAGGAACTTTCATGAATGATTATGTAAAAAAAGCCATCGTGATTTTTTTACTTTAAAAGATACTTTTTGAAACATATACTTACATCAGCATTGGCTAATTACAGGCTAAACGGTTAAACGATCATCTGGTCATGAATTGCAGGTAGTGTTAATGATCATATTGCCGTCAATACATGTACACAAATTCATAATCAATATTTTTACATATTTTTTCTATATTTTATATAATAAATATTTTATATTTATTTATTTTTAATAGGTTGTGAGGGGGTATGTTTTTATTACACAATAATAGACAATGTATAATATGAACACAATATGTGCTTCAATAATTAACACGATCTGAAGATAGATCATAAGTCATAAGACATGAACTGTTTAATCGTTGCTTGTAATAGGCCAATCTTCATATTCTAAAAACTACTGCTTGAAACGAAAACTAACTTTTATTTAGATTTCGTTTTTCGAGAACTTCTCTATCGCATTTGGATTTGTGAATTTCATATATTCTATATATTATGTAGCATTATAATTTTCAAATCTTGTTCTTACTTAATTAGTGTTCGTAATTACGCGTAATTGTTAACGTTATTATATAAAAATATCGCAAGGAGAGGGTAAAAAATTAAAGCAAGAATTTTACATAAACATATCATTTTATGTATAGATAGTCTTAAAATTATACCACATAATAACTTACAGATTACTCGTAAACTTAACATGAGTATTAAATTATCAAAAATATTCCGCCATCTTCATTGTGCTTTGGCAAATAGCTTATGAATAAGCGGCAGGTATTACTTATAATAGCAACAAATATAAACAGTAAATATGAGAAACGAAGAAATGCCGTGATTGGTCGTTGTACTACGAAGGAGAGTAATAATGTACTCAATTCTCGTATAAAACGAGGTATTGTGCACTTATTGCTTTATATAATATTAGAACATATTCGTACATTGAACCTTGCACAATCGCAAAGGAATGATTTTTTGTTCGAACGGTATTTCATTTACAATGTCAAAATGAGATTCCGCGCGCTGTAAACAATGCCTACCGTGACACTGTTTAACACGCGAGCGAGAAAAGAAACTACGCGAGAAACGTTCCGCATGACGTTATATCGTTTTTACACTTCTATCTACACAAACAAAATTCGCTACTAACGGAATTCTTCGACTCGGACGCACGCAACTACAAGCACACTCTGACTTATAACAACGGATACTCACGTGTTTTAACGTGTTTTCTAACGCGTTCGTCAGTTATTAAATTATGATATGCATTTAGTTTGTACTGTGCCAAACACACTGTGAGTGCAGCCGGTCGCGCGTAGTAAATCCGAATAAATAACAAAAATATATAATTTACATATTAACATTGGATACAACTTATTAAACATCACATTTCATACAGGCAATACAGACGTTTAAAAGACATCAAAGTACTATGTCCTTTAAACGTCTAAAATCTCTTCTCAAATGTCGTCTAAAAATAAATTTCGTAAATTCAATTTTTATTTATTTTATTTTTTTAACTCTTTTGTTATAAAAACTACGTAGAATGTTAATGTACATATAATTCTATTTATAATCTCATATGATAAATTGTTCATAAAAATATACAATAAATATGTATCAATAATTTAAGTAAAACGTATACAAATAATTCCTTTGTATATAATAAATCTCATATATAACAATATGCCAACGAATTGTTCTTTCATTAAATTACTCGACCGAGAACACTCATCAGGTGCCCGACGCAGTTTTACCCTAACTTTCGAACATAGGCGATTCGACTATTTTCTACATTTGTCTGAGGCTTTCCTCCAACGTTACTCTTACGTAACTTTCTAAGAACTTTATCTCAACTTTACGACTACGCTCCCACTTTTCCTAATCCCTCGCTTTAGACTCTTTAGAGAATAAAAATATATATCTGCCATATATCATAACGCTTAAATTATCGTTTGACTTGTACGTACATTTAAAATCACATCCCACATTGATACAGCCGTCCGATACCAAGCATCATTTGTTTAATACGAAGATTACGATAATACGCGATCATGTACTGTTAGAATCATATCGTCCCACTTACGCTCAATTTCTTCAACGCTTATTAACAACAATCGTAGTTCAATTGTCCCCCTCTGTCCCTTTCTAAATTTTGTCTGAAAAGAAGAAAGAGGCAATAGAAAAATAATTATATTCACGATTGAAATTAACAACGACGATCTTCGGACGTGGATACATAATATCACTGTGGCGCAAATCTTCGACTATTTACAATTTATAGTACAAACTAGACGAGAACGCGGTTGATCTTAAAATTTATTGTCGCGTGGGAAATTCGCCCCTGTTCGAAAGACCGGCTTCTTGGTCGGTGTATAATATATATATAATATATAAGTACATAACATATTAGACGTGCTTCTCAAATTCAAAGTGCACGTGGCGGATTAATTGTATCGCACATAACTATATGCGATACCACAGCCCCACGCAAATTGCGTCGTTTCACGTGCGTTATAAAAAAGAAGGAACGCGCGCTCGCGCGCGCGACTAGCGTTGACCTACGCGTATGCCGTATACGTATCTCTAACGATAGTATTGTCCGCTATATTCTAATAGAGCAATGTCAACTTGAGGTAGGCCCTGAAGGACTGTCGGAAGTAATAAAAACAATTACAACTACACACCTAGTCAACAGCTGATAGTCACATATCGCGTCATTTCCACGGTGGGAAAGCGTAACACGTTTACATCCCACGAAGCTAATTAATTGCCTCGCAGATACTCGACAAGGTTGGCACTAACTCGCTAACTCTGATCCTCGCATCGGACATGAGTCAAGTCAAATCGAAATTTTACGAAGCTAATTGAAGAAGCGAATGAACGAGGATGATGTATTTTTTTATATTATAAAGTTATCAGTGCTTTGGAAGTACAGTTGAGTTGGAATTATCTCGATCAACTTTTTTACAATTAATTTTAAGAGATAGCTATTACGCTGAAATTTTTTACTGATAGACTCTTCTTCCAATTGCCTCTTCAACTCGTTTTAAAGAGATGTGAATCTTGTGAGAAGCGCTTTTGTCCATGTATCTATTTCTATACTATTCAGATCTACAATCTTCCATTCTTTATCGGTTATCTCCGAATCGCTCTCGCTCAAACTTCGTTATAACAAGCAGACTTTGCGAAATCGAGCCGAAGCTCGGAAATAAGAACAAGGAAAAGTCAAGAAGGAAGAACAGATGCGCTTCTCTTTACATAGAGAGAAGTATAACCTTCGAACTTGACTTCCCTTTAAGGGAAAGCATACCTATAAGGAAATCTATACCTTAGAGGAACACCGTAAGGAGTGCTATTCCTTACTCGAACGAGCTTCTTTGTCGACACGAATCGCGATCGAAAGTTCAGCAGCTAGCACGACATCGGCGTCGGTTTCATATTGGCGACCGCGCTCATTCGTCTAGTCGGACCTCTAAATCCCTTCTCGATTTCTTCGAGCGACCTGCCGCGGGTCTCCGGCACGCTGACGATCACGAAAACGAGACCTACCACGACGATAATGCCGAACAGCCAGAAGGTACCGTGCGCACCGATCACCGCTATGACGTCCTCGAAGGTTTTCGTCACGATGAAGGTGCACATCCAGTTGAAGCTAGTTGCGATACTTGCGGCGGAGCCGCGGATCTGGGCGGGTAGGATCTCGCCCATCATCAGCCAAGGAATGGGCCCGAAGCCCAGCGAGAAGCCTATTACGTACACGATCAGACTGACCAGCGGCAGCCAGCCGAAGGCCGTCACGTCTACGTCCAACGATTTCACGTAAAAGAATCCGCCGAGAGAGAAGAGAGTCAGGGCCATCATCACGGCGCTTATGTACAGCAGCATCTTTCTGCCCAGCTTGTCGATCACAGACGCGGCGACGAAAGTGGATATAAAGTTCACTATGCCGATGATTATGGTCGAGAGATTCTTGTCGATTGTGCTACCAGCGTCCTGAAAAGAAAACGTTGTTCGTTGATTATTACACGCTGATTTATATCTCTCCAAATTTAGAGATTTATTTGACCATCATTTCATTTTCATGATTTGATTGAGAATTATATGTTTAAACATTATTGAATTTTGAACTCGCGAATCAATAGAGAAAGTTGATGTACGTACCTGGAAGATCTGCACCGTATAGAATATCACCGCGTTGATACCGGACATTTGTTGGAACAACATCAACCCCAAAGAAATGAGGAGAGGATTGAGGTGCTTACTCTTCAACAACTCCGAGATCGTGCTTTGAGAACCGTTTTTCTCGCTATCGAGGTATTCCTGATGCATTTTCTCGATCAGAGACAATTCGTCCGTTATATCTGCATCTTTACCGCGGAGCCATTGAAGAGACTTGCGGGACATCTTTGTTTTTCCCTTAGAGATATACCATCTTGGCGTCTCCGGAATTACAAACATCAAAATCAAGAATGGTAGCGGTAAAATCGCTCCTACTAGCGCCAGATTTCTCCAATCCAGATACATGCCTGCTATGAAGCACAGTAATATTCCTGCGCATCGAATATAAAACTTTTATGAGTTTGTGAGACATAATTTATAAAGAATAAAGTATAAAATATATAAGAATAAGTATAGAATATATGTTCTTATATTTAAATGTTCAACAAGTTGAATATTTAAATATTATATTAATTTCTTTATCAGACAAATGAGAAACAAATAGCATATTTAATATTTATCTATATTGATATTTATTGATAACATTTTAAAAAATAAACGCGTGTAAATAAATTGTAAAGCTTTCAATTCTATGAGAAAATAGATATCAAATTCAGGCATTATGAAGAAGTTTTAGGAACGTACATTTAAATCGACGATAGAATTAAACTATAATTATATAAAACTTGCGTTTTACTTACCGGTGTTACCAAAAGCGGTCGGCATTAAACCAAGAGTACCACGCACTTCTGCCTGTATCGTTTCGCCTAAATACACAGGCAACGCTAAAGATGCAATACCTACAGCGAAGCCGCTTATCGCGCGCCCAGCCAATACCATCGGGACATTCTCAGCCATCGCAATTAAGACCCACGCTGTAATAAATATCACGTCATCGTATAACATGGTCTACTACTTATGTGCAATGCAAGAATTCGGAATATAAGGGAAACTATATAACCAATTTAAATAATTTGATGGAAGATGTGACAGAGCTTATATAACGTTACTTGTTACGATAGTTCGTTCATTATATCTTGCATATATACATATCTCAACACATTAAATCTCATTACGTAAAATTTTTCTTGCGCTGTGCATATGCTTCGATAAACTTACCTCCAATAAATGGGAGCGCTGTGGCAAGTATCGTCTTTTTCCTTCCTATATATTCGATGAGCGGCCCTCCAGCAATGCCACCGACAAGCGCACTCAGTGGCATAAGTGACCCAATCCACATGCTCTGTAACATAAAATTTAGAATATAATCATATATACCTAATCTAAAAGCTCCAAACGAATTTTTAGAAAGATTTTGATAGGTGCTTACTGCAAGTCTCTAATTGTCAATTAATTAATTAATTAATTAATTAATCAACAGAATATCAAATTAAATATCTATTAAAGATTAGTTTATTTGAAATTAACTACACAACATTCTACACATATATGTATGTATGGTAAGCGATGCAGAAGTTTAATAAATATCGGCCCGAATATATTATATAACGCCTTAAACTTTTAATATAAATAAAATTTTGGGGGGATTTAAAATATTCTGTATACTCGGTAACTATTAAAATTGCTATGGTTATGTACAGAAGCGACTCGGGATAGGATTGAAAAAAATGTAGGTCGATTGTATATTATGCAGCGCGTATCGACATCTCTCGATTGTTTTAAATTCATCGTTCGAATAGCAAGTCCTATACTGAAGCAATACTGACGTAGTTTTACTCATCACAGGTCCTTCGAATACAAATAAGGTCGAGAAGCCGCAAAAATGTCAAGGAAAACAATTGCGAAGGGCGACCATCGATCATTTTCGTTGCTCATTCGTGGTCGTGCGTTTTAATTAAGTTACCGCAGCGCAAAAACGGGTTACGAAATCTTTGTCACGATTGATCGAGTCACTAAGCGCAAAATAATTACTGCAATAATTGCTGTTAGAAAATAATCGGTGTAATAGATAGCTGGCAGTGTTCTTAGTACGATGGCTTTTAACGAAACATTATTTTCTCAAACCTAATTAATTATTAGAATATCTTATATACTTGCATTATTTATTTATAGTTTAATAAAAAACAAAACATTTAGAAAAAATATTTTAGGAGCGTTACAAAAATATATTTGCATAATCAGCAGCTATCCTATTCTGTCTCTATCGGCAGAGACAAAAGTATATTCTGGATTGAGGATTAAACTCAAATCTTATATAATATCTTTCGGAGTAGGTATATCGTAAAATATTATCGCATAGAGAATGCATTAATAAAAGCATTTCGCTCAGGATAATTTAAATGCAAAAGCATATAGTTGTTTATGATGAAAAAATGATCATTTTCAAATATAATATAATATACATTATATAAACGATTTTATTTTATTATATTTTAGCATATTAAAAAACAAAAAGATATTGAACACGTAATAATTTTGTTCCCTTTTGCTCTGAAATATATTAACGCTAAGTTTCCTGAGATACATATGTCCTACATCGCGGCTCGTCGGAAGCTCGAACGCTCGCTTTTGCGGAAGCGTCTTATTCAGCACACTCGCTTGCATATCTGGAATCAATTTCCGACATTGTCATGATGTTGAGGCCTTACGACAGAGCCGGCGTGTCCGGCAAAATGGCCAATCGCGTTCGCGGCCACTGAGGCACGACGGCTCCTTCGCCAATACGATCGCAATCAGGTCATCGTGCCCCTGACCAGGCACCAATGACGCACTTGAGGTTAAACCTTTTAATTATCCATTGACCCTTCGAATAACGAAGGTCGTACCTTTTTATACGCACGCGTATCATCGCGATAATTTACAAGTGACGCGCGTTACGTCGTTCGTCATCGGCGCTTAGCTTCGACTTCCACTTCACATTGATCCACAACGTGTCGCTCGTAAACAATTCCGTCGGATTTTTCCTTGACATCGTGAATTTAATTTAATTTAATTTAATGTCTTTAAACGGGCGTAGAAACGCGCGCTATCGTAATATCTGTTTGCGATCTAGACATAAACGAAAATGATGTCACGAATACTTGTTTGGCATTCTCTAGTAGCATCAAACAATAAGATATAAGATGGTAAAATTATTTTTTTAATAAATAAAACGTTCACGTAGATAGAGAACATAGCTACTGATCAGAATACAAATAAATATCAAGTTTGCAGAAAATACGAGTTATACGAATATGTAGGTATTACGCTAAACGAATAATGAGTATAATTGGCGGTAGATGTTCAAGGAGCCGTGTCCGATTCCCACAATCGTCCACTTCCGACAAAATCGGATCCTTCGTATTCACTTCACGGTCGAGCGTTCGGAGAGATTGCGATTTTATTCTGAGCACTTTTATGAAAACGTTTGTCGGAGATTGCGTTTTCTTACGTAGCTTTCGCAAACTTGGCGAATTTTACATACAATTCTAGATACATGAAATACAAAGTATGTGCCCGATAAGATGCGTGATTTGTCTTTCTGTACGATAAATTCTCAACACGTTCGGATAGGAGTTAAGGACGGTTCGGATTATTTAAAAAATATCAATTGCTGGACTTACCATCTGTTTGGTGACTTCGAATCCGGCCGTGGTGTTATCGCGCATGGATACCAGCGCTGGCGATGTGTAGGAAGACGCATAGCCGACCTGCATCGAGCCTAACGATACCGATAATGCAGCCAATATCTGTAAATAAATTATAAACAGCATGAAAAATGTATGAAAGCCTGAACGTGAGCTTTGACTCTTTAGGCGTACTTAATAAGATGAGAAATCTCTTTAAATTACAGGGGAATTACTAAATATAATCGGAATAAATTCAATCGGTAAGGCAGATTGTCAACAGATGACAGAATAAATATTATAGTCATAAATCTTTTCTTGTAAAGAAAAAACAATCACATAATCGCTAATCAAAATTGTGAAGATTCACGTGCGCTTTTTTAATATATGGATTATATATATCAAGTATATATTTTCTTTGTACATGCAATTTGTACATGTTTATATAGAATCTATTGAGAAACCAAAGAGAGATCAATGCAATAATTTAATTGATATTTGATCAATTGTCACGATTTGCGTCATAGAAATTATGTCGAAAACGATTGCGACATTCGCATGGAAAATATCCTGTTATTTTCGCAATTTTTATATGTATATTAACGTATGGATCTTTATTTAGGATTATTTGTAGTATATGGAATTTTAAGGATGACTAGTAAAAATTGCAGTGCAACCAGCAAATAAATAATTATAATTCTTGAAAAAAAAAAATATTAATTAGATTTGTTTGACTGTACAGTAGCACAGTTCTCGAGAAAAGTAATTTTCAATATAAAAGAAACGTGCGTTTTTATTATAACATTGTAGTTTTTAAATAACAATTGCAGAGTAAAAATATTATCGCTACAAGTTCTAGAAGCATGACGATGTATTCAAGATTGTTATAATTTAGTTTCAAAAAATTTTTTAAATTAAAACGCTATTAATAATGAATCTCACAATAGGTCCGTAAAGTTACGTAAACAAATTTTAACATTACATATTAACATTTGTCAATTTTAGTCCGAGAATTCAAGATTATTCTTGAAAATTATGTAGAATATTATTATGTATTTTGTACTTATTTTTCCACGAAAAATCTCTCTCTCACTGTCTATTCAGTTATCTACGGGACATTTTGTGCGAAATATCTCTTCTTGCCCTCCAAAGAAATTTAAAAAATATCCAGAGAAGTAAAAATAAAGACAAACGAAAAATTTCGGTCTAAATTAGCTTTTTACCTGAGTGATCGTGCATTTTGCTACCGGCGAATTTACCGGCAGCTCGATGTCTACATAAGTGTCCGCTCGCAGAAGAATCTTCATGATCACGGATAGATCGAATCTATTGTGATACTATCTCGTAATCTCGATTATGAACGCGATTTTTCGACGAAGGTGATTTCGGGACCAGTTTAACGAATCGCTGTTCGAGAGAGATAACCAGCAATGTTCTCCAATTACAACGCGACGATCATCGTCGCGTTTCACGATGGAAACCGGAATCGGAGCGAAAAATTGGATTATTCCGAACACCCGCGATAGGATAAACTGACAATAAGCGGATTTATTCGGATCAGAAATCTATCCGATAGCAGGTCGATTCCGAAAGTCTTGGAAACTCCGCGTTCTCGTATCAGAGTTGTAAAGTAGTCTCGATAAACGCGTTACAGAAAGAAAAAATCGGATAACCGAACTTTGACCCTTCGAGGATCCCGACTCGAGATCGGGATGGAAGATGAGAAAACTCACTCTTGCGCGCGGGGACTATCTGTTATAGAGATCGATATTTCCGATCGGATTCCGATATTGATCTGACTTAATCGACGATCAACGAACTGAGTATCGATCGCGCACTGACGCGAATGGAAGTTTTCGATGTCACAGTATAATACAAGCTATTGACACTTGTGGAACGCGCCGGGTGAACTTATATAGAGAGCGATGCTGGGGGCCGGCCATCCCTTCCCCTCGTAAGTCACGTAGTTGAGAACCTCGTAGATCACTACTCCCCGGAGCCGGAGCATGTCGGATGATCACAGTCAATTTGAAAAGGCGTCTTCGTTTTGCACTTTCGAAGCGACTCATGATTCTAATTCCGAGCGGGGGGGGGGGGATGAACGTATTATGCCTTTACGTAACTGTATTTTCTGAAGCACTTTTGAAACTTGATGGGGGTATAACTCGTATGTTCAACGTGAAAACCATAAAGCAGTTCTCTTGTTTTGTAACAGTATAAAATTAGCCGCCAACGTTAAAAAATTAACTTTCTATAGCTCATTCGATTGTTCATCGTTTGCACGTTATTTGGTATTGCGAGTCATAAATATCGGTAGATTACAAGAATACCAAGATATTTATTGTCCTATTATTTAACGATTTAGAATATTTGACGAAAAGCAGTATAAAATAACTATTTAGAAAATCAATAGAATCTTTTATGCACATAACGTACTATATTCTCTATATTTTATATATGCGTATATTCTTTATTGATACATTATGTTTACTGTATTGATAAAGCAGCATGCATGTATACTGTATCAATAAAGAGTTAAGTATTTTATTATTCATTCAAACAACTTATTGTTTAATGCAATAACAAGAGCGTTATTTTAACGCTACTTATTCTATCGGCATGCTATCAACTCATTAATCAATATCATATCAACTGAGTTACTCGTTGTTTTTCTATTTCCGTTATTTCTGTTATGGTTCTTACTATCTTATCAACCTCACAGTGAATTTGCTAGTAAAGAAAAAGTAATTAGACATTGCGTCAGTATTTCATTTAATTGTTGAAACGTCTTTCTTGAATCTATAATCGATATATGCAAGAAGTTCTTCATTAAGCGCATGATTTTTATCTAAATTCTTCAGCTATAACTTTTTGCACTAATAACGCGCTGTATGTAACAATTATTTCGTTCAATGCATAAATTTTAGCGCGTGTTCGCGCAAACTCTAAAAATTGAAATCTAGGAATAGAATGTTTAATGAAATTTTCCATTGTCTGATTTTACTTAAATATCATTTTCGTTTGTCTATATATATAAGAAATTATTTTTATTCTTATATAACTTGTCATAACTCGTTTGACGTATGGATTTAAATATGTTACGTCATTTCGGTTTGATTATTAATTAATGCTGATATGCATCGATCATAAGTCATTAAATTAATAAAAGAGCTTGATAAATATATAATGGTTATAGCCATACATCTGCTTTTGACATCTGTATCTATAATACGATTGTTCGTGTAATGAAGGTTGATTTCTTGCTTGATAAATGTTCATTGCTTCATGCTTTATGGCATAGAATACTGTTTCATCAAGCTAAATTTAATCTTTTTTCACATAGTTTTTTGCTTGTGAATATTGAATAAGTTATACAGATACATAAATATAATATAAATATGTAAATAAATAAATTCTAATACATGCAAAAATACAAATAAAATTTTGAGCACAAATTATTTAAGGACATAAAAAGTTGCAAAACTTGTATACATTAAGTCTAATTTTCGCGGAAAACTACCGACGATAAGCTGAAGCTGAATAATTGTAATTAATTTAACAAGAGCTCTAATTATTAAAAAAAATTACTATCTCTTTAATAGATGCCTCGAGATCCGATTATAGCTAAAGAATCATTATTACAACGTTTAATTTCGCGTCTTTCTTTTTACATATGAAGCTTGTTTCATCTATTTTTAATAACGTGTATATAGTTCACGTAAATGGAAAAAAATTTGTGTTTCGCATAATACGAAAATAACAACCGAGAAATTCTGATGACGCCCATGATGCCATCGTCCATGAATGTCAATGACTATCGCAAGGAAAGTGTAATGTTATAGCGTTATTCAAGGCTGCAATATATGTTTCAGGGTTGCGTCTGCTCTCCGTTCGTCTTCTCTTGTTCTCGTACAATTGTTGTCGATCATTTCGATCACGTAACAGACAGCGCGAATTGATTAACTTGTACGCATATATTACAATAGAGCAAAATGTTTAATGCAAAGACGTTCTAATTCGCGTATCAATATTTTACTAGTTTTACTACAACGGGAATTATTTCGGCTTTATACAAACATTTTTGAAAAAATGCTTTTGTTTACGTTTACGAATATAAAAATTCAATATAAACAAAAACAGATATATAAAGAGAAAGTATATATAGATGATGAAATAATTTTTATACAGAGAAGTATTTCATAGAGATGTGAGTTTATCATTTTTAATTTATTAAAATTATGCTTTTTATACGAAGAATACTATAATTTCTATAGATGCCATCCTATAACATTACAAATTTCGCGTGAATGAAGGGTAACGCATCGATGTGGCTTCTGACGGACCGCACGTGTGGTCATACTACTGTAGGCCGCGTCCTTAAATCTAGCAGTTTATTCTCGAGAGCGCGACTCTCAACAATAAAGAAGGAAAAAAAATTCTCAGTCAGTAAACGTAATCCACGATAATTTGATGTATTGTATTCTATCTGCAACTTAACCGCATTCTAACCACACTAGACGACTTGTGAAATAAGTATTTGTAAAAAATATTCTCGTCTGCATATAGGCAACGTTGATATTATGCGCAAGAAACACGTGCGAAGTTTCTTTATAAATATTTGCAAATATTACTTGTGAGATGACTATTGATAATAATAATCGTTTTAAAAATGAAATAATTCACAATTTTTTATCAATGAAGTTGTTCAATTGACAATGTTGATAATGTTCTGCCTTGCCGATTAAAATTCATATTTCAAAACGGAACTTATAGCATTTTCAGAATAAGTAGTGCCATATCATCTGATTTAGCCGCTATTCCTTAACTTTATTTTTATTAATTTAGTAATAAAGGGAAATATCTCTTTTTGCACATTTTTAAATATAAATGATTTTAAATTGCTCGAAAAATTTAAAGGTAAATCCCATATATATATCCGTGAAAAAAATTTACGGAAACTTACCTGAGCGGCAAACCGCAGCCAGGACGGCTTAGGTTCCTTCTGGAATTGCGAGGACGGCAGTCGGGTGGGTTCCTGCGGGTCCTTCGGCAATTTCACGTCCTCGGGATCCATGAGGATACTTAGACTTTCCTCGCTCGGTAGTAGTGGATCTAGCTGCTTGTAATCGACGTCTTGGTCTTTGTTGAGCGGATCGTAGATCCGCGACTTGGTTAGGGCCTTCTGATGATTGTTCCTCAAGTTTTCGGCATAGTAACGGTTGGATTTTTTGCCAGTGTTGCCGGAGAAGTACTTCTTCTCGGTGATGAGGGCGGTCTGGCTGTTGAAGGGACTGGTGTTCGTCACGAGGGTGGCGTTCGACGAACAGTCTAGGTTGGATCCAGAACTGGTCGGCGAAGAGCCGATGACCGGGGATACCCTCGGGTATTTTGCCAAAACGCTGCGCTCCTGAAATGCAGAATTATGAATCGTTTTAACGATATATCGGATGAATTCTACATTTTTAAAATCGCAACGAGATGGATGGATACTATATATCAAAGTAATCGTTCAAACGAAAGAAAATATTAATATACGTGGACAGAATTTTTCTCAAACGAAAGTGCAGCAATAGAACTTTAGGCAGGATATAAAATTTACCACCGTTTTTGTTGTATTGCGAAAAAACAATTTTAGCAACAGAGTCGTTATTGATCGCAAAATGCAAGACTTTCCTATTTATTTTCTAAATCTTAACACATAAGATATTTTAGAAATCTTTTATAAGAATGGATAAAAGTGTATATACAAGTTGAAACCGGAGATAACCGCAAAAGAGGAACTGGACATTACCAGACCTCTACTGCTCCTCTTCGCGATAAAGTTCTACGCGTGGTAAACAGATTACATTAATAAATTCAGAATCATAAATTCAGAACATTGTGCATAATTTTAAAAATAATAAAAAAGATTAGAATAATCGCCCGTTTCAGCTCGATGAAAAAAAGTTCTTTTCGTGCTTCTGAGAAGTTTCGTTTTTCACGACACATTTACTTATTTAACACAGAAATCACTTTTGAAAATTTTTAAAATCATGGATTACTTTTACGAGAAGATGTTAACAGACGTGAAATCCGCGTGAACGATAGAACGTATCCACGGATGAACCGTACACTAAGAAGAGATCACCGGATGTATAATGATAAAAAGATAATTGAAAATTATCAGAAAGATGCGAAGAGCAAATAAAACGAACAAAATCGCGTTACCAATCGCCGAAGAACGACCGTTCGTTTATTCGCTTAGCAGTTTACTCAAAGGGATGAAACATCAAAGCTGGACTATTTATACTGTTTTGAAGAATCGCTTTATCAAGAATCGCGGTGAAAATACGCTAGTAGAGAGGGAATTGAATCATACAAGGGGAGAAAAAAAGTAGAGGACGAATAACGTCTGGACAGGCAAACAGAGCGAGCGAGAACGAGAATGAAAAGAAGAAAAAAGTGTGATTATTGAACGAACCAATGATGAAAAGCCAGCGGCAGAGAACCGAGCAATGATGTTGCCCGGTCGGAGATTAGATGACATTTTTACCCCTGACTGATAACCCATGAACTCCACTACTAACAACGAGTGCGTAGCTTTCGCGAATGTTTCTTTATTTCGTGTTGACGCAAAGCGTTACGTGATAAGAAGATTGTCCAATTTGATTCTATAGCCAAAATCTCGTAATTACCACATTTCCGGAATAACTAGAACTTTGCTGTAACAAACAGTCGGGGATCCTGTCGAGAACTGTCGACCCCGAAAATGAGTATAAATGAATTAATTCAATATTTTTGACATGTTCAACCTTATTTATCTTTCGTTTTTATATTCTTGTCTCTTTTCAATGATATGTTTATACGAAAATCACGTTCAATCCAGATAAAAGTAAACAATGGCGAAGTAACTACATGAATTTTTAATATCCAACAGTAGCCAAGTCATATTTATGAATGCAATTTGAATCTAGCATTTAAGCAATTCTAAGAAGACAGGCGTTAAGGTTTTTGAGATTCCAGGTACAGTAATTCCGATTCTGGATGATAATATTATTTGAGCAGAGTCATTTTAAATTTCAGATTTCATGATTTCTCAATTAAATATAAATCGAATTTTTTATTACTTTCGTAAATTGTCAATAAAATTTAATTATCGATTTTTCATCCGATATGGCAATATAATACTGTATTTGATGGATCCTTAATTCATGAAAATACTTACGTCAATTAAAATCATTTATGAAATAAGTTTAATATATTTTTAAAGAAATCACACGCAAAATTACATTGCAGGTATTCTCTGCACGGTCTATATGCATCTTAAAAATATAAATACTTGATTATGATATAAAAATCAATTTTTTGCCATGTTTTTTTTTTGCAATCTCCTATTTCTACATTTATAATTGTATTCGTGTTAAGAGTAAAGGAGTACGTTCACTTACAAGTCGATTATAATCACAGGTCTTTCTTGTCTTTCATCGGAATTTCAATATGTAATTTCTAACAAAATATCGCTTTAGGATGTTCTATATCGGCGATGTGACACTGAGAATAGATCGCATTGGTGCGATATTGTTAAGTAGACACCTGATTTATGCCCCTTGATTGAAAAGAAGGCGTTATTAAATTTTACGGCGTTCTTCTTGAAGGCTGAACGTTAAAGTGGAACATTGCGTCGTACGAAATATAAAAGTTGTCCGACAGGCTAGCCCATCCAACAAAACATGGATCGTCCTTTGTGTGGACGTGTGATATGATGTTTCACATTACATTGGCATCATAACTATTGTGTCGAAAAATCATCTGTTTATCCCGCGGTCATCACGTGCCTCTTACATGCGAGGTAAAGTTCACACATATATACGATATGAACTATGACGTCTCGGAAGAAAACCGGGCGTTTGACGTAAACTTATGTCAACTTATTCTTTGGAGTTCGATTCTGGTGTGCGCTTGTACACAAAGAAATTCTACGTTCTCTTATCGATTTGCGGAAAATTGTGTGCGGGTCACATGTCGCCTGTAATTACGTATAGGATCGATAATTTTGCGACACCACATTCTTTAGAATATTTTTTAAAGAATCGATACAATCTCGCGACGAATACATGATGGGAGTCCCCGATACAAAACTATCGCAGTCCCAAATTGTTGTTTTTTTAGTGAGAGATGTTTTTAGCGTTAAAATTTTAATCTAAAATATGATGATTTAAATTAAAACATTACTCTTCCAGTGATCCATATGATGATGTTTTTTTCGTTAAGAAAAGATAATTATCTTAAATAGAATTCCAAAACTATACCATAAATCTGGAATCTAGGTTGCGTAATCAGTTATTACGTTAGAACACTATATCAAGTTTAATGAAGTGTTCCTGACCTTCGGCGCGGAATCAGGGTTCTCTGATTCAATTGATTGTTAGATTGTTCATGTTTTATAGGACTTTTGTTATTATAAAGCATGAAAATAAATATATTAAAACTTCTATACTCTTATTCGGATTTCTCATTTTTTGGTTCGAAGGTTATTAGTATAATAACAGCAATAATGAATTATATGAACAATTTAGTTTACTAAGAAAAATATTAGATAACCGAATGTTATTAAATCTATTAAATTCTACGATAAATCTTAGATGGCAATCAAACACAATCATACTTTGTTATCTAATAAACATATCCATATCCACTATATTCACAGTTAACATAGACATTTCTAAATAATAAGCTTAAGAATAAATATAATGAATTACTAATGAAGAACATAACGAGAGAAAATAAACAATTTGATGCATTTTATACTGTGAAATAAGATGCTAACGTATTGAAGAATTATCCACATAAGTTATAAAATCGCGTACGAAAGAATTTGCTGGCCATATTTGAGAGACAAAATTTCAAATTAATAAGACTTGATCCCGAAGTAAATTCTATGAAATTAAATCTCCCTATACTAAGATCTAATCGTTACATTTATTAGCTGCGGAAAAATTGCGAGGAATCTCGTTAATCAAAAAGAAATGGAAAAACGATCTTGGACTTTATACATGATTAACAACATTCGATCTGTCTTTCAAAGACGAAAGTAGTTTACTAAGGACAGTATAATAATATATATCACTCATTTGCTGTAACAATAACATAACATAAAAATTGTGATTTTTCAGCAGACACGATTTAAAGTTTTGAATTGTTATAACTTTCTGTGAGAATTTTAAAATATCGTATTGACATGTCACTCTTTTTGCAAGTTTTACGGTGTTCTCACTACAACGACAAAATGACAACTATGCTAAGACTGAGATAAGACAGTATTGCAACCTACATAATTTATTAAACGACAATAGCACACTGTTCCCTCGGCACAACTGTTCCCTCGGGTGAGTTCGTGAAGATTAAGCATTGTCGATTTAACTGTAAATAGTACATGTAATAACCTTTTTCCCTGTATGAATAAATCAAACAGGGCGATTTTTGAGTTATATCATTGTTGCAGCAAATGAGCGATATGTGACTTTTCCGGGGATATGTTTCAATGTCCCATGCATTCGCGCGCAATTTCCGATATGGTCGATCGATTAAATTTACTACGGCACGGTCACTCGACTTTGACGACTGTTGACCAAGGGATAATTCCATCGTGAACCGCTTCCGTGTCAAATATTAACTAAGATTTCTTCACGTAATTGTGATTTCACCAAACGTAATACAGGCCTTTGAACTAATTGATATTTCTTAAAAAATGTTATGTCTTTTATAAATTTGCGTTTTGCTTAAAGAGAATTAAATAAACGAATTTTTCCTTTGTCTGTATTAAAATCAAAGCATCATTACGAAATTATTTAACGTTATTAATTAAATATTGATCAATTAAACATTTGCATATGCCAAAATGTTTATAAATGCCTATAAATTTTATTTATTTATATTTTCAGATTTAATAAATTTTACGAAAGACTTTGTGTAATGCTATCGTGATTTTATTTTTTCTAAAGACGAGTCCAAAGAATCTCCGTTTTTTTTCTGGAAAAACGTTAATAAACAAAGGCTATGATTTGTTGATATTTACATATCACTCGAGGAGAGTGTCATTTTATTTGGATTTGCTATCGTACTCTTGGGAAATAAAAACTTAGGGGAAGATTATAAGACGCGAACTTATAATATTGAATGTATAGGTTAATTAAATGTAATCATTTTACATCGATTATCTTATCTCAGTTGTCCTCCTCAATAGTTTTTTAAAAATAAAATGAAAACCACACAAAGGATAGGAAAATAAAAGATATAAGATAAAAGAAATTTATGTCAAACGATGATATGTCAACATTTTTACGGACAAAAAAGTTAGATAATACTTGCACTTTGTATAGCGCGTACCCTCGCATTTGATTCTTAACAAATCCCCTCTTCTGCCGACCA